TTTATATCTTTGGCTTGGTTAGATCTGGTGGTTGTGCTGTTGCCTCAGATTTTTTTTAGATAACCTAAGATCCTAATGAAGAAATTTAAAAAGAAAATGCACTTCTATGTTTGAAATAGATATTAAGCACCTAAATAAACATAAGGGGATTTTTCAGGTTGTCCAATGAACAACCACTTGACAAAATCTGTTTGTCCGCAACCTTTAAAATAAAGAAGGCAAAAAAAAAGGTTGGTCTTGTTTCTGTTAGCATCCATCATGGATGGATGGATGGATGGATGGATGGATGGACATCATTTAAATTTGATATATTTATCTGAGGCTGCAGTTCAAAAGACTTTAGTGGAGGAAATATTTAAAACTAGTATTTTTAAGCAGTTAAATAAGAAGGTTGATATTCCCTATGAGGAACATGAATAAATAAAGTTAAAGGTTAATTCACTCAACCTTTATTTATACAGGTTATTTCCCATTGAGCCTCGAGGACTCATTTGCAAGAGAGACCGGTTTCAGTTCAAAACCGTCTTATTCAAATAAGATGATAATGTCTGTAGTTACAGAAAACAACGTTTGGAGCTGCATGCATTCAGCTGGGACTGCTGCAAAATAAAAAATAAAAATAAATTAATCGTGAAATAATTATTAGATTCTTGTAAATGTATGTTATCTCGCTCTACAAAATGATTGGCAGCTGATTGACTTGATAACTTCATGCCTGTTATACTGGTAAGAAAACAGCTTTTCACCTGTAAAAGGAGGACATCAGCCAACAGTTGGCCTTTAATGCGGTGATGGCTGCTTGTTGTTCACAGAGTGATGAAATAACAGGAGGTGTGATAGTTGAATATGGAGACCCCCGCCCCTGTTTAAAGATGGACGGATTCTCTTCACAAAGATGACTTATTTACTACTCTCAATTCCTCTTTTATCAAGAATATGTATGCAAGAACATCAATAGAATCACTCATCCCCTGGTGAATTTCAAGCCGAACTCTAGGTTGATGGTCCTCCTTTTACTTGTGAATACTGGTTCTGGCTAGCAGAAACTGGTTGAGTGCTCATTGAGTTTTTAGCACCTCCTCAGACTGAATAAGTCTTTTTTGGAAAAGAGAGACAAAACATTTCAACAACGAAGAATCTGTTCAGAAGACCTGACTTTAATCTGGTTAGATTTATCTACTTGGATTATAGAGCAGCATCAAGACAAAATCTGTTCATGATGCTCCCTGATTAAAAAAAAAGGTTTAATCTTGTAACTTTTCAGAAAAATCATGTATATTTTTTAATTAGTTTTTAATCTGTTATGATTGTAGTATTGAGTTTGAAGGAATTTTTTTATATTCTCTAAAATAAACTAAAAACACTAAAAACTAAAAACACGTTGCCCTATTTGATATGTTCATGCTTATTAGAAATAATTTAATTGCTAGGAGACCACTGCTGTTAAAAAGTGCCTTTTTAATATATTGAACTTTTTTTTACTATAAAACTGTTGCAGTTTGTCACCAACAGTTACGGGTGACATCTTGGCTTCAGTGAACCACGTTGTAGTGGGTGAAATACATATAATATAATGTAGTTTTAGCTTTTTTTTTTTAATCTTTGCTTGTTTGCATCCAAAAGTTTGTGATTTAATTTCAAATATTTTTTATATATAATTTTTAGTTTATTGAAAACAAGTGGCACCGTTGTCACTCATATTAAAGCTTCTGTTTTTGTCAGTTTCAAAGAAATGAAAGTAACTCTTGAGTCGATTTCATGCCTTGTGTTCATGTTTTTAAACTCCAACGAAACTTGTTTGTTCTCATGCATGTGTGTTTCTTTTTCTTTAACCGAAGTGTTTGTTTTTGCTTTTAGATCAACTCTTCCATTTCCTGGAAGCCAAGAGCAGTATGAGGTAGGTTTTGTGAATCTGAACGTGGGGGCACCACCTCCTGCAAGAGCTAGCCAGTTTTATTGTCTTAAAAAAAATCAACGTTCTGAAAAATTGTCATCATTTTTTCATTTTCATATCCAGGTGTTTATAAAGGACCTCGTGTGGAATCTGTTTGGAGAAGGGAATGACGTTTTTAGAGAAGGGGACTGGACTAAATCTATTGAGATGTACACAGAAGCACTGAGCATAGCAGAGTACGCCGACTCAGAAGAAATCTGTATTCCAACAAGTTTACTGGAAAAACTGTATGCAAACCGGGCTGCTGCGTACCTCAATATTGTTCCGGTAAGTAGGAGGCATCTGTCACACTGATCGATTTACTTTAACTCGCACAAAATACATTTTGAAATAAAACTACTCAAATCATTCCATGTGGCACAGACTGAAAAGGGGGAAAAGATCTCATTTTCTTGTAGAATCATTCTGTCATTTGAGGGGATTATTACGAAGCATTCCTAAGTCCACTTATTATAAGCCACTTTGGGCTTGTTTTATTTTTTTTCTAAAGTCACTTGCAAATCTTGGTTGCGGTCTTTTGGGCTTGTTTTGAACATGAAGTTGCTTATTTGGGCTTGACTTTCTTTCTGAGTGAAACTAGTTGGTTATCTCCCAGCTCCGCACAATAAAGCAAAAGACGAGTGGTAGTAGGTAGTTTGTCCCTTTCACGCCACCGTTTCCTGTTTATCGCTCCCGCCCAAGTTGGTGATGCGACAGGCAGACGTATACAAATATGTCTGTGGGCGCGCACCCCAAACACGCATATGTGGCCAACCACTAGGGGGCTCCACTTACACGCAGATGTCAGGATGTTTTGCTTTTAAAAATATGTAGAAAAAATGCATATGCAACTTTTTTTTAAATCAGAGCTTAAAAGTATGTTGTTCAAAGTGTTAAGCATAATTTTGCTGTTGTTTATGTGTAATGCCATAATAAATGTATGTTTATACTGTTTAAAAACAGCCTCTTTTTACAGTGTGGTGGGTTGCCAGTTGGGCTTGTTTTCATAGAGCTGATTGCTTGTTTCTGTCACGAGATCTGGCAACACTTACTTCCAGCACTGATGTCATTCATGTTGTTTAGCCTGAGGGCAGCTTTGTTCTGCATGAAGAGCGACAAACTTCTGTAACAAGATCTTCTGTTTTGCAGTTGATATTAACTTGCATACGTTATGAAATCTCCGTGGTTGATAACATGTTGGCCGTGCTGTTATGGTCCTTGTTTTAATTTAGATTTAATAAAACATATGTTGACCTTTTTTTATTTAAAAAATGTTTTTAGCAATAATTTGAAAAATATCGCAAAACTTTAGACTGTAATCGTTGCTTGATTTGAAGGTAATAATTTAAAATGATTAAAAACATTGGAATATAGGAACCAGTAGTTTTTATTTGAGCTTTTGTTAAATGTTAAAGTAGAAATTCATTTAGGTAGTTATATTTGTCAGTACATCAACAACAGCCTATGTTTTCTTTGTTTGATCAGCTCAGTTCCATTTTTATTTTTAGTAGTGCTTCAGTCACTAGAGACATAAAGTTTATTTTGCCGGTTTTGCTATCACCACAGCACTGAGGCAAAGTTGTCTAACTGAAACTACATATTTCTATTAATATTAATAGGGACTGTTTGACCAAGCACTAGAAGACTGTGAAAAGGCTCTCCAGTTAAACGAGGGAAACTACAAAGCACTGTACAGAAAAGCAAAAGCCTTGAAAGAGATGGGGAGACATCAAGAGGCCTATGAGGCTGTTGCCAAATGTTCTCTTGCAGTGCCTCAGGTAAGAGAAATCATCTGAAAATTGCAGCCCATTTGGTTAAATGTCCAAGTAATTTATTTGTTTTTTCTTGCAAAGTTAGCAAAAAAAAAAAAAAAATCAGCATTGGGGGGAAAAGAGTCATAGGTTACTAAAATCCAACCAATATGGAAATTTTGGATATCGCCGATGCTGATATTGGGAGGGGAAGGCGACTGCCAATAACCAATATAATGGCTAATTTTTTTTTAGCTTTGTCCAACCCCAACAAACACTGAGTGGAGGGGGGCTTGTTTATTTAGAGCAGCTGTTAGCGACCATGGAGCTAAGCAAATCGGCTCCATGCTATATGTTGTCCCACACTAGGTGCACTGGTCATAAAAACAGTCTTCATATTATCGTGATGCATGCTCAATAATCCGGGTAGAAAAATCTAAAAAAGTTCAATCTGGTCCTCTGGAGGACCAGATTTAACTTTTTTAGAGTCTTCATATTGTGCGTTCACATTTTCTATCCTCCACTATTCACTGTAAAGTTATCAAGTGTGTTACAAAAATATAAATTAAACAAAGAAACGCCCTTCCCTGTTCATTGTTTAAACAGTCACGTATGGTGAAGGCCTAATTATAGTATTGACTGCACTGGCATTTATTTTTCTTTGAAGAGATGTAAAGATTTCAGACCATGCATTTCAATGAGATCGACAAAGTTAACGTTGCTAACACTGGATGCCCTCGCAAACTGGAAGCTCAATCTGACAGGACTGGTTGCTATAACTACTGATAATGGGGCTAATGTCATGAAGGCGGTGCCATTGAATGCTAACATTAGCCTGCTAACTTGAGAGGCACATAGCGAAAGATGAGCAAGGTTGGAGGATTGAAGAGAATTTGATTTTTCTTTTTCTTTAGTTTTACAGATCGGTTAAAATAAACTTACTGTGTTCTATTCAGCAAAGTATGCCACACAGTATTGCTTCCTGCTTTGTCTTTGCTGAACTTCGAAAGTGAAACTTAAGGCCATCACGTGAAAGTTGTCTTCATGCGCCCTCTGCTGGATACAATGTACAGTTACAGCTTGTTCCCAGCATTTTAGGGGTGAAAATTAGAGGTGTTTATATCTGCACATATGGGACAAAGTCCCCAAACGCCTACATTAGCCTAAAATATCAGCCCTGCCAGTGTATCGGTCGGGTTCTGTAGGTGACTGCAGGCACACAAAACGCATCTGAACCAGGATTCTGATTTGTTTTGCAGACAGTGAAGATGCTTCATGAGATTAAATCTTAATATAACTTGTATTCACTTTTACAACAAAATAATCAATTCAGTTTATTTATAGAGCGTCAATTCACAACAAACGTCTTCTCAGGGCACTCTGCTAAAACATTCACATACGTTATAAAATGTTGTTCTTTGAATGAGAGAGAAAAAACAGCTCAATACAAACACAGTACAACACTTTATTTTACCCTTTAAAGTTCAAAACGAGGGATGTTTTATTACAATATTGTATTTCATTCTTATTACAAACTTATTACATTTAAGACAAAATGTTTAAGTGCGCTTGTTACGATTTTTCTTATTTAGACTTGTCCTATGGTTTTGATCTGCTCAGAGACGGGATTATAATGAAATTATGACCCGGTTCTGACTGGGTTAAACTGGGCTAGCAACTCTAAAGAGAGTCTCCCAGTGATTTCAATATCAGTCAAGGAGTAGTTTAATCTGCTTGCCACATCACGTAGAAAGGCTTTGAAGCACCGTTTCATATTTTCTAACACGTCAGTCCACGTAAGACCACACTTAGCCACGCCCCCTCATACACTGATAGGCTGAGCTCCCCTTCAGCGAAAGGCGGAGTCTAGGACCCTATAAATTAATAATGACACGAGACATCGGGGCTCTTCTTCTGGGTCAGTGAACGCGTCACAGACTGTATAGAGTCCAGCGCTGTGAATTGTAATCTTTTACTGCCTCTTCTAATATAATTGATAAAACTTAATTGACGTTTCCTTGATTTATTGATTAGTATAGTGCCACTTCTGAGGGAGGTCCGAGCCGGGGGTAAAGACTTGGGCTGGAGGGGGTTTCCGGATCCGGTAGTCCGCGGCCAGCTCACGTCAATAACATGCTATATCATGTCTTTTGTTTACTATATATGAAGACGAGCTAGATTTTGTTTAGAAAATCATTTGCCGTGTAAGAAGATGCTGAACTTATCGTAAATAAATATCCAAATTACCAACCAGAGTCAGCATTAATAAGTTTCAGCAAGTTAACTGACTGATTGCGTTTAAAATTTTTTTTTTACTAAAACCCAGAGAACAGGCTACAACACGTCACAAAACTGCACAAATGTCAACACTTCCTGCTTTTTGTTTTTCTGCAGGATTCCAATGTCACACAGCTGACTCAGGACCTTGCCAAAATTTTGGGGTTAAAAATCCGTAAAGCTTATGTAAGAAGTAAGGTATGTATGGTGGCACAACATTCTTAAGAAGTCTTATTGTTTTTTATTTTTTCAGAACTAGTTTAGCGTGTTATTGCTGATGTCCCAAGTTTAAATGCACTTTTTAGTACATGAATTTTCAACATAGGTTTTGTCTGATTATTTCACAATAAGATAAAAAAAAATTGGATTATAAAGTGGGAACCTTTTTTTTTTTTTAACCAGCCTGCCTTGAATGTTTTGCGTGGATCAAGTTATCAAGATGCATCTTGTGACAAAGTAAGCATCGTCGCACACAGTTTTAACAAAAATAATCACTCTCAATTGATATCCAATAACTGGTGATTTTTTTTCTCCCCAGTTTTCTCATGGTTCACCTTCAGTCGAAGATATAGAAATTGGTAAGATATAATCTTTGATTTGCTTCTCCTGAAGGTGTAACATAATGGAGACACCTCCTTGTATTTATTCATTTACTTTTTCTGTTTTAGAAGTGCCTCCGTTTACCCAGGATAGCAGTGTTTTGGTCCCTGCTTCCGCTCCAGTCCAACCCCCAGTAGCAGTACACCCTCCTCTAAATGAATCAGTGGTTGATGATCTTTCTCCTAGCAACAGTGTCGTATCTGAGCCGCCTGGTTTCGAGTCTGTCCCCCCGCCTGTATCTGCGTCCACGTCAGTTCCTCTTTCTGTTCACAAGTTTGTAAACGGCTGTCGAACCAGCAAGCCTCATCCAGCTCTCGAACCTGATCAGGATTTTGATGCAGACATCATCGGGGATGACCTGGATGATCTTCTGGACCAAGCTGGTTCTGAATCAGGCATGGTTAGTGAGCAGCTTGAACTGTAGACACTGATTAAAGGAAAAAAGGTCCAATTTATTAATGCCTGAACTGATGTGTAACTTTGTTTTGTCTCTTTCGTCAGATTATTCCCACTGTAAAGGGGCCCCTTCCTTTACCAACCAGTATTTCCTCGAGTAGTTCTATATCAAGCCCATTCATGATGCCTACCCGTGAACCCGTGAACCCGTTTCTGCACCTCAGTAGCCAGCAGTGCACTGTAACTCTGCCTCCTCTGTATAACAAGTCAGGGTCAAGCACATATTTTGGTATGGACACTTTTGACTCTCTGGCATCACCACTGGACTCTCTTGATAGTCTCTCTATAGCAGACTACAAATCAGGTGAGTTACTTCACGTTTACTAGAAAGTCATGTAGTTTTGGTTTGCTTTAAATCAACAGAACTTCTAAACTATAATACTTTTGTCTTTCTCAGATTATGTTCCCAGTTCCTTCATGCCACAGGTACTTTTTCTTTATTAGCATTATTGAGGCATCATCGGATTAAATTTAGTTTCAACCGCTAATTACATTGTTTTTGACCACAGCTCAATAATAACACACCAATGGGGATGGCAGTGGGTATGCCTGAAGTGAAGGACCTACCTGCAGCTGTGGATTTAGCAAAGAACCCTTTAGCTGAAACACATGAATTCAAGCAAGCCTGCTGTGTATGCTACGTCAGAACAGGTGAGGGATTCTTGCAACGGTCTGCTCTTACAGTTGGCTGGACTAAGAGCTGGATTAAATAACCTTCTAATTGTTAGAAGGTATTTAACCAAAAGCTCACATCACGAATACTGTGTGTTAGGGGTGGGGAACTAATTTTTCTAAAAGGCCAAATCAAAATATTTAAAGCAATAGAAGGGCCGCCTAGAGAATTTGCAAAATAAATTTTTATTCAAACACAAAATCTAAAAAAAAGGAAAAGAAAAGTTTTTCAGGCTTTTTCTTGTTGTAGCATAGTTATAGCATGCTCAATCAAAACATGTCCCCCAAATACACTGTAGAAATATAAGATATTGTTTCTGTAAAATGGGTCTTGTGACAATATATTAGACTAAATATGATGGGGGGGGGGGGGGGTGTATATTTGAGTTTTGGAGTCTTTAAGGTTCAGTCTAATTCTAGAAACACAAATATAGCCTTATTCTAAAAGTTTTTATCTTTTGATTCAAGATGTTTAATTTAAACTTCCTTAAGTTTCATTTATAAATGTTTTCATCAACTTTTCAAGAAGTTGATTTCGTTTCAATTAAGAGTTTTGGGGGCTGGATGGAGATCATCCAAGGGCCACTTTTGGTCCTCAGTCCGTACATTGCCCACGTCTGCTGTATGTGAATGCAAGGGAACACTTGAAAAAGGCAATTTCAAATGAAAAGTGCTGTTTTCACTCAATGGTCTTTGTGTGAACAAACTATAAAAATAAATTAATTTAAAAGTTAGTATGTCACTGAAAATGTCAGATTTCTAGGCTAGATTTTGATCCCGATATCATGAGTGGTTCCAGAGATGTTGCTGATTTGTTTTGCTAAGTGAGATTACCACTAGAGAATTATGAAAATAGTGAAAATTTAAGGCTTTTCTGCTCAAAATCAGGTTAATTGTTGATACTGCTCCGAAAGTGCTTCAAAGCATTCTTTAGGATTTTATTTCAGACATAACATTCAAAGGATCCATAGATAAGGTATTTATTCAACATATTTTGACAAAATGCAATGGTTGCTAATTTTTCCAACCAGTACACTATAGCTAGCTGCTGTAGACATCTACACATCACTTTGTGACTTAATCCTCCATTTGATGTGATGGGTTATAATAAGAGCCTTTGTCAGTGTATGGTACTACTGTTGATTTTATGCCTGTCACGATAACAAATTTTGTTGGGCGATTAATCGTCTCAGAAATTATTGCGATAAACGATATTGTTTGAAATTTGACAATAACTGGTAATTGTCAAATTTAAAAAGAAATGTTGGAATTTTCTTTTGAGTGTAGTGTCTTTTTTGACCACCGGATGGCAGTATAAGGCTTATTTGAACCAAAGGATGGAAAGTGAGGGAGCGAGCAGTGTCTCTTTAAGAAAAATGGGAGGGAAGCCCATGGACTGTCTCTCCTTCCTTTTTTCCCCGGTTCTCAAAATGGCAGACGCTCGGTGTGGTTTGAGCTCTTTAGCATAGCATTTTTTACACAACTTTTAATAAAAAAAAATCAATAAACAAGTTCTCAGCTTCTTTTTGCAGAGAAAAACAACTTCTTAGACGAAGGCATTGGTTTCAACTGTGAATTTTGGAGCTTTGACAAAACAGAGGGTTTTCCCCCGTGGTCGGCCTGTTAGCTTAGCTTGTAGCTTAGCCTCTCAGCTTAGCTGCTTTTAACAATCCAAAAACGTGATTTTTGGATTGTTAAAATTGGATTTTAAAGAGAAAGGGAGGAGTCAGAGCATTGGAGTTGAGCCTTTTGTCATCCAGTGTCTTCAGTAGAAAGAGAGAGTCACGAAGAAACTGTAAAGCCGATTATTGAAAATGAGGTTGATAATTTTTATTTATCATGCGATTAATTGATTTATTGTTTAAAACAATAGGCCTAGTTGATTTTTAAAATTTTGTAATTTATCTTGTATGGGAATGATTTGGCAAATAAAAGGTTGTTTGCTCGACAGTTAGATTTAAACGTTCTTGTTTTCCAGTTGATGACATTTCAGGTGCTTTAAGAAATTTTTGGTGCCGTTACATTTTGTGGGATGCTTTTAAGCGATGTTTTGTTGAGTCTAAACTCCTGCCAGATTATATATCCTGTGCAATTTTTCGTAGACACCAACCAGTTTATCTGTTTGAAACATCGCCCACCCGCAGCTGGAAGTGCTCATTGTTTTTCAAGCTAAAGAGGCGAGCTTATTGAGAAATGTTTTTACTTTTGCAGGTCCTGGAGTGTTGGATTACGCGCTTCATACTGAAGACCATAAATGCAAAAAGGATGTATTACTTGGCAGAATCAAGCATTCATCTGACAAAATGTGGAAGCACATTCGACCCCGACCAACTAAAACTCAATATGTTGGACCTTATTACATTTGCAAAGGTAGCGTCTGTACCCTAAATCTTGTCAGTGTTTAACGAAAAACAATAAAAGCCCTGTTTGATCTTGTTGCATAGTTAAAAAAAAACACATTAGAATTGTTTTTCCATTTTTAATTGTCTTTGAAGGTTACGGGTAGTTCATATTTATTTTATGGTATTTATTATGACACAAATGATAGTTTATACCCATTCCAAACACATTCTGCAACACAGGAGCAGTTAAATCACTTTTCCTTTTCTACCACTCTGTTTCTTTGTTCTCTCCAGTCACGTTTGTACTGAGTGAATACTAAAATCTGACCTTTTTTCAGAGGTGGCTGTTGGAAAAGAGTGCCTATACCCCGGCCACTGCACATTTGCATACTGTCAGGAGGAAATTGATGTTTGGACTCTGGAGCGGAAAGGATTTATCTCCAGAGAGCTGCTCTTTGATCCTTTTGGACCAAACTCTAACATCAGACTGACTGTCCCCAAGATCTTACAGGAACATCGTGGGACATTCATGTTCCTCTGTGGGGTGAGGGCTTTACTTTTACTGAAGAAACTGTGATGTTAGGCCGTGGTTTTGTCCCATTAATAAATAATTTAATGCACACACAAAGTTTATTGTATTGCAGAACTGTTGAGGTCTCATTCATAGTAATACATTGTTTTATTTGATAAAAAAAATATTGTCCTTAAAATGTTCAGTCTTTTGTCCAGGTTGAACTTTGTATTTGTGATATTTGTCGGTTGTCTGCTGTTAAAGTGAACAACAGTAACTCAGTAAATCATGGTACCGTACTTGCCGCTGTACACGTCGCGCCGCCGTATAAGTTGCATCAGTCAAAAAACGTCTAATAAAGTGGAAATAACATAAATAAGTCGCTTCGCCGTATAAGTCGCATCTATTATGCGTCACCACCGACCACCCGGAAACGTGGGCCAGTGAGCCAAAAATTGATTGATTGCCAAATGGCGGCCATGCACGGGAAGACTTTTAATAAGAATTTAACAAGATTAACACTTAAAAACAATTATTTGTTTTCTCGACATTATAGTAAAGGTGTGTCTCTGTTGAACTTTTCCTTAATAAATGCACTTTAATGGTCAAATCAGCTGCATTTCACCTGGGCAGCGAAATGCAGCTGATTTGACGTTTGCTCCAGGAGTTCCGGAGCGAGATGAAGGTGGCTTGGTATGGCAAGCCAAGTGTCTCACTAATAGCCACTTCTACCTATTAATGAGACACTTGGCTTCCCATATTGCTTGAGGGCCCTCTAGCGGCTGAAAATGGTAATGTTCATTATTTTCCATGTCAGAATGAATGAAATCATCAATCTCAGCCAAACATTGGGTTATAAATATGGGAAAAATGTACATTAGTCGCTTCGGTGTATAAGTCGCAGGACTTGCAAATATATGCAGAAAGGTGCGACTTATACGGCAAAAAATACGTTAATCATTTGTACTTCCTCCTTGAGCAGGTGGACAATATTTTTTTAAGAGGTCCAAATCACGATATTAAATGTAATCGAAGTGCCGCATAGGGAACTGAAAGATGTATTTTCTTTGACAGATTATCTGGAAGACTTCTTGTTGTAGCACATAGCTTGTATGCTAGATTGAAAATAGGTCTCCTCAATTTTCTTTAGCAATATGTCATAATTTCTGAAAACTAGTTCTTGTGACAACATATTAGCTTCAATATAAAACTAAAAAAAGTTACATGTTTGCTTTTGAGTCTTTCAGTTTAGTTATGGAAAACCAACTTGAACAAAAGCTGTGGCCTATTTTAATCTAAAGGTTTTTGATGTGTTTATCTAAGATGTTTGTTTTACACTTCTTTAAGTTTCTTTGATAAAATCCAGGTTTTCGTCAACTTTTTAAAAACGGTTCTTTTCAGTTAAAGCAGGGGTGTCAAACTCACAAAAAGGTGCCAAAATTAAAACCCTTTTCAAACTAAGGACCAATTTCAGAATCTACAATAACTCAAGTTTGATACCAACATCTTTTCTTGGTCACAGGTTCCTCAAGAGTTTGATTGGTCTCGTTTGACATTCTCCGTTGTGCTTTCCACATCATAATCAAAAATTACTGAAAACATTTCCAAGAGATAGAAGTATTTTATGTTTCACATATCGGCTTGGGGGCCAGATAAGATGTCAACGAGGGCCACGTTTGGCCCCTGGACCTTGAGTTTGACATGCATGAATTAAATTTGGGGACTTGATTGAGCTTATCAAAGGGCCACTTTTGGCCCTCGGGCCACACATTGCTCACATCTGTGCTAGAGTTTCTGTTGATTGTTTTCTAAAAACAATTTGAAAAACATTCTGTCATAATTTATCAGCACTTTTATGGCAAAGATAAATTTTCAGGTTGTAATTATAATATTTATTAATTACTGGTACACGATCGTCACTCATTTATAATATTCCAGCTTTTCATTCTAATATGATTTGAATTTGCTTTACAAATCAAGTTGTCGTAAATATAATTGTGTATACATAAATAAAACAGAACTTGTATTATACTCAAAGTATCTGAAGTATCAATGAGTTTTACTAATGAACGGTTTTCAGTGCTCTAGTTTTAAATTTTGGTTGTTGTTCGTTCTGCAGGTGTGCTTTGACCACAAGCCAAGAATAATCAGCAAAACCAACAAAGATGACCCTTCACTTTGTTCTCATCCCGTCACAAAGCATCACTTTGAAGATCATAAGTGAGTCAGCCAAAATGTGAGAAAGTTTTAAAAGCTGTAAGACTAAGCAGAGTTGGACTGACTTGTGCGTTTGTCTTTAAGGTGCCTAGTCCACATTTTGAAGGAGAACTCGGTTCGCTATTCCAAAATCAGACCTTTGAGTCCTCAGTGCCAGCTGGATCTTTGTCGACACGAAGTCCGCTACGGCTGCGTGAGAGAAGACGAGTGTTTCTACGCCCACAGCCTCATCGAGTTAAAAGTGTGGATGATGCAGCACGAGCTCGGTAAGGCTGCTTTTTGACCGTACCACAGCTCGGTTAGAAAAATGCGATTGTTCGTAAATCCTTTTCTTTTCTACCATGACCGGAAAAGCATTCTGCAGTAACTGACATTACTTTGGTTTGTATTTATTTATTTTTAACACAGGTATCTCTCATGAAAGTATTGTTCAAGAGGCAAAAAAGTATTGGACTGCAACAGATTCATTGCAAGGAGCTCAGGTAAAAACGAAATCATGGTTTTATTTCACATATTGAGCACTTGTCATACTATTCAGTTTGAAAGCCACTACATTGTTCTGTCGTACCATTCCTAATGGTTAAATGTGTAAAAATGTATTTTAAATCCCACCTCTGTTACCAGACCTGTTGCTGAACTTCTCTGCTCATAAAAACAGGCATAAAATTGGTTAATTGTACATTGCATTTGTCAGAACACTCAGTCGTGTCATGTTTATAAGAGCAGTGACACTCGTCTTTCTTTTCAACGCAATTTGTAAAAATTACAAGCTACAAAAGTTAGCATGTTGGCAGGCTCGCTACTGAGGCTAATCCATTTACCGGTAGTTAACCAACGTGCAACTTCAAAAAGAGTAATATTCTGCTAAAGGATAAAAATGACTTTAGAGTTCTAAATAAATTGTTCTGGTGATGTGGTTTAGTTTTGTTCCTCCACTTGTGTGTGTATTTTGTGTAAGGAAAGCAAGTTTTGGGCCAGGACTGTGCTAGGGGTTGAACGACTACATCATTTTTAAACTCAATTAACATAATAAAACTCGAGTAGTTGATGTCATAGGATCTCAAGATGAAACAAATAAATAAAAACCGCAAAAAAACGTCATTTATTATTTACAAAAAAAAAAAAGACCAACAAAACATTGGGAGCGTATATTATGCTCCTACCATTTATCATACTGCAAATGAGTCGCAGGAAAAACTAAACTTTTAGTTATTATTATTATTAAGCTGCAAAAGTGAAAGAAATAACGTGCAGCACGTCAAAAACGAAACTAAAAACAACGGAGCAGGCGACGTGGTGCACATTAGGTTTACTTTTAGAGATTAATATGTTTATAGTTTTTTTTTTATAGGTTTAGAGATTAATATTTTTTGCTTTTTGTTTGTGAAACAAGGACAGAAGGAAGCTGGTTCTGGTTCAGTCATTGGACCAGGTGTTGCACCATATTTTGTGACCTGCAACACCGCCCCCTATGGTCACAATATACGGTGGTCACAGAATATAGTGTAACACCGGTTTGCAATGTTCCAAACAGTCAGGAAGTTGGTTCATTTTCTGTTTCCTTACGCTAGTTGAACCTGAAGATTCATCTTTAGTGAAATATTTCCATACTATTGATGCATTTCTACCTGTTTGCCAAGACTGGGCCTGCTCCGCTCAGTCCATCTGCTGGGAGGAATCCATTTGGTAGCTTCTACTAGTAGCCCGGTGCGGATCATGTGACACAATGACGTCACTGCGAATACTCGACGTGAATTTAAAAAACTCGATAGATGTCCTAAGAATCGACCTGTCGATTACTCGAGTAGTCTGTTAAAGCCCTACTATGTTCCAAAGACATTATTAAGATACTTAATACTGTGTACTAAGATACACAGTGTAACAGTCAGACAAACACAAAACGAGTCTCTTAAGAGAAACTTCAGCTTCCTACGTAAAAAATACATTCTTATGTGAAAAACTAATTACACACGATGAAATATGTCCTCCGTAGTTTATAATTATCAGTATTTTAAAAAGGCCACCTGATTCTGGTGTTAAATTTAAAACATAATTTCAATACCTGTAATTTAAAAACAGGTGTTGACCCTATGTATCATTGTGAATATAAAAATGTTATGAATTGAAGTTTTATATTCGTGCATTAAAAATAAAACCTTTGTACTTTTAATAGCACAAATAAATACAAAAATAAATAGGGTTATAAAGGTTCTCTCTTTCTAAAAAAAAAATAAAGAAATATATATATATATATGTTGATGTGCGAGTGGTAAATTGAGCTTCAGGATTATTTGCAACTTTCCTTCCAGTTCTGTGAGCTGAATAGATAGAGCTAGTCTATCTATCTAGATGTAGATCGATCTAGATAGATAGTTATTTCTGACTTTGTTGCAGAAGTTTCCCTCCATTTCGGCAGAAAGCATCAACCAAAATACACTGTTGGTTTCTGGGTAGTGTAGTTCTTTTGACTGGCGTTACAGTGTAGGCTTATTGAAAGAAAACTACAAAGTGTCGGCGCCTGTCCAAAGTATTATTTATTTATTCTTTTTATCCCGTACTGTCCGGATCACCTGAGTAATACTAAAGTCGACAATCGTTGAAAAAAACGCAAAAGTTGAACTGCGAAGTAGCGATGGATACTGTACCATGAAACTGGCATGTTTGCTCAAGGGTTTCCTACTGTCAGAATCTCATTCCCAACAGGATTTTGATGCTTGTTTTTATCTTTTGTCCTGGATTAAAGTTTTCGCATAAATGTCTGTTTAATATGAGCTTCCCATCACTTGCTTGCGTTCTTGTCTGATTCTTACAAATTTGCTGTGCTAAGCTAAGATTTTAACTTTATTTTTTTTTTTCAACAGTTTTCTACCGTTCAGAGGCGGTTTGGTCCTCCTAATCTAAAGATGATGTTTGTTTGTGGCCAGTGTTGGAGGAACGGCCAACTATGTGAAGCTGATAAAAATAAAAAGTATTGCACAGCCAAGGCAAGACACACGTGAGTATTTAGGTGCTTTAAATATGTAAAGAGACGGAACCAGTTCAGCACCTCGTGACTTGGTGTGCCCTTCTCATTTAGGTGGGCAAAAGACAGACGAGTTGTGCTTGTAAGTTCCCATGAAAGGAAAAAGTGGACAACAGTAAGACCACTTCCAACCAAAAAACCCATCCCATCTCAGTTTGAGGTGAGCGTTCATATCCGGCAGTTGCTTTCAACGAACGTTCAGGAAAATTAACCAAATGTGTTTCGCTGGGTTGCAGATTTGCATGCATGTGACAGCTGGCAAGAAGTGTCAATACATTGGGAATTGCACATTTGCTCACAGTGTAGAAGAGAGAGACCTGTGGACCTACATGAAGGAAAGCAACAGTAAGTTTTGCCAAGATCGTCTGAGTTTCATTAGTAAAATATAATTAGCATGTAGTTCAGCTCACTGTCTTTATACCTTCTAGTTCCAGATATGGATCAACTTTATGAACAGTGGCTGCTGTCTCAGAAGCCTGGGTGGGGTGAGGAGATGACCAATAATTCATTCAGAGAGAACGGCAAACAGATTCACATGCCAACAGACTACGCTGAGGAAGTGGTGAGTTGGAAAACTTTCAGACGTGATCTGCCTGGGTCTGGTTACGCCCACAAGTTGTGCTTAAACTGAGATTAGAGGACATGGCCTAAAAGATGTTTGTTTTTTAATTTTTAAAAATATAGTTGAATAAAGGTATTAAAATATTTGGCCAGTAGTCCCTCGATTATCACGGGGTTACTTTCCAGACACCACCGCGATAGGTGAAAAACCGCAAGTAGGAACGCTGTTTTTTTTAATTATTTATATATATTTTAAGGCTTTATAAACCCTTCCCACACTTTTGCAATGTTCTAAACTCTTAAACCTACGTAATTTTAACAATATATGCACTGTACAGTACTGCAGAGTTTAATATGGGTACTCACCAGTGAAGATAATACAACTTGGATGAGTTCAGCTTCAAGATTATTTGTGACTTTCCTGCCAGTTCTGTGAGCTTAACAGATAAGTTGTTACTTCTGAGTTTGTGTTGCTAAACTATTTTTACCACATTGGTTTCTCCGCTAGTGTTTGCTCCCTCCATTGCTGTTCTTCGAATTTCAGCAGAAAGCAGCGTCCCGAAGCACTGTTGGCTTCTGGGCCGTGTAGTTCTTCTGACTTGCATTACAGTGTAGGCTTATTGGTTGAAAACTACAAAATGGCGGCACCTGTCTGTTTTTTTTTTTTTTTTTTTGGTTGGTTCTCACTCCTGTTAACTTTTTATCCCCTACCGTCCCAATCACGTGAGTAATATTACAGTTGACAATCGTGTGTCGTGTGTTGAAAAACCACGAAAGTCAAACCGGGAAGTAGCGAGGGATTACTTTAATTTACCAGTTTGGTACAACTTTGATTCACTTTCTTGCTAAAGTAAGGATTCTGCGCGGTTTTGAAATGTAGGGAATTTTAATTTGAGTATTTTCCATGTCAGATAAGTTTGAGAGGAAAAAAAAAAAAAAGTCAAAACTAGTTTCCAGTCTTCCTAAACAAATGAAAAAAATATTACCATATTTTTCAAATCAGCTGCATTTCTCCGGGGCGGCGCAGTGAATTTAAGCTGATATGACGGTTGCTCCAGGCAGACGACGGTGGCAGGCTATGCCAAGCTGATTATGTAATTAATAGCCACTTATACCTATTACATGATACAACAGCATGCCATACTGCTCGACTGCCATCTAGTGGCTGAAAATGGTAGTGTCAAATCCAACAATTTTCAGTCAGGTCATCTGGACAGGTTTTTTTTTTTTTTTTACATGACTGCCGACGAGGAAGAGGGCTGGCAATGGAGGAGGGGGCGGGACAAAGAGACCATCTTAGCACCAACATAACTGGTGTGTTCCACTTTGGAGTAAGCTGTTTGGGGGAAGAATCAGTTTTGTGTTGTGTGTGTCCTTGACTGATGAAGCCTTCTGGATGCAAGGTGAAATGTTTCAGTACAAAAATAAAGAAACTGTCCAGATGACCTGACTGAAAAATGTTGGATTGTATACCTGGATTATTGAGCATGGACTTTGTTGGTATTGTGCAATATTTTTGGTCAGAATGAATGGAAACGGTCATAAATTGGTTTATAAATATGAGAAAAAAATCCATAAATACGTCGCTTTGGCCTATAATTCGCAGGGCATGCAAATTATTTAAAAAACTGTGACTTATACAACATAAATATACAGTAATATGATCAAAAAATAATTTGGCTAAGGAAAATTTACAAGTAAAATTCGGTCAAACCTCATTTAGAGGAGAAAAAAAACATTCACCTCTTGCAGAAGAAGGTGGGAAGATGCACCGTAAAATCAAACTACAATCGAGGACCAAAAACGTGACATTTACAGACACGGCCATCAGAAATGACTTTAGATCATCAATATCTGGAGATTTAGAATTTCACGTGCGTAAACGGTTCATTAGGATTAAGACGCAGATTTGTTTTTGCAGGCTGGCAATCATTGTTGGCTGTGTGGTAAAAACTGCAACAGTGAGAAGCAGTGGCAGCAGCACATCACTTCAGAGAAACACAAGGAGAGAGTTTTCAACTCCGAGGACGATCAGAACTGCTGGCAGTACAGATTTCCCACCGGCACTTTCAAAGTTTGTGAGAGGTAAGTTAACATTTAGGTGCACGATGCCGGGATTGTGCTTATTTATGCCTATTATACGACCTCTTGTTTCAGATTCCTCAAAGGCACGTGCACAGAGGATGACTTGTGTAAACTGGCTCACGGGGAGCAGGAGCTGAAAGAATGGAGGGAGCGCAGAGAATTCCTTTTGATGAAACTTGCCAAAGCCACAAAAGACCATCTTATAGCACCAAATGACAATGACTTTGGAAAATACAGTTTTCTGCTTAAAGACATTAAATAATGACGTGATGAGAATAATATTCATGCCCCTTTGCAAATAATGCAGTATTCAAACAGTCCTGGGTCAGGTTCTTTTTGAGGGCCTCTGCTGAGCACAGGATGTAATCTGACCACAGCATGATTTTAAAACGAAGGGCGATCAGGACCGTCCCTCTGATTGGTGGCTGGTTTTCTCTGATCTCACCTGCAGTGTTCTCATCATCAGTAACAAAGATTCAGAGACACCTGAAGTTTTGCTGCGCATCGTTCTGCAGAACCCCTGAAAACCATCTCAAAACAGCATGTTTAACTTTGATTAGACATGTTCAGATTACTAGTTAACCTAAAAAAAGAAGTTTTTTTTTTTTAAAGCAGTTTAATGACTTTTCTTGTTTAAGTATAAATTACTTAAACCGAGTTCAGTTGGCGTTCTTGTGTTTAATGAGTCAACAGGTCATTTTCACTTTCCATTTATCTTCTAGTGTTACCAGTGTATTGGACACCCTATCAAATAAAGTTTTCTTTTATAGTCTATTGACAAGGCTGTTTTTTATTAAGTGTTCAGTTTTAAGAGAAATGTGGTGAAACAAATAATCAGCTGCATCCAAGGCCGGATTAACCATATGGGCAACTGGCCAGGGGCCCTTGAGCTCTAAGGGGCCCAGGACAGTGAGGGAACAAGCAAAACATCTGGTTATCTCCTGCTTTACTTGGAGCCCTGCGCTTCCGCTGCGTTTGGACAGCACCGCCTCCTCCCAGCGCGGCTGCTGCAACTCGCATTCTCGACGGTGCGACCTGTCAATCAACTCAGAAGGCGTGTCAGTAACTGACCAATCGAGAACCTCAATTTGTCCTGAAGGTAAACGCCCCTTACCTGCTGACAAGCTCATCTGTTTTTTTTTTTCTTGAGAAACATTGTTTTAATTAAAACAATAAGTTCGTATCTGTTGTGAGATGATTCTAGCAGTTTTGCAAATTTTAAATCTATTTAATGAAGAATATTATGACTTAAAATCGTTCATCAAACAGGAAGGAGGGCTTATATCCCTCTTACTTCAGTGAATGTGGCACTTGGCTATAACTATATTTATGGCATCAGAGAAAGCTGAGCTTAAGTTATCCACATAAAGTAAAATGTTATCAGCATCAAAGGAATGTTGAGTTTGAGATTAATCCAGTTTCTGTTTGACCAAACACTTTGTATTGACATTCAAATAAAAATTGCTCGAGGGATTCATCTTCTGATTTACAAAAGACACAAATCAACATCAAATTTAAATCTTCTTTGCAGAAACATGGCTACAGGATATATCTTATTTATTATTTTAAAATGATTTTCCTTCACTTTAGATTTAGGCCATTTGACAAATTTAGAATGAGCAGAAGTCATTCTGGTTTTATGATTTATACTGGGAGGTTTCTTGAAGGAATCTTTGTTATAATCAATAAATCCTTTGTTGCAAACATTCATTGATCATCTTGTTGCATTTGAAGTCAACTAAGTTACAGACATTTAATTTTAATTTGTGCATCTAATAGTCACCTTTGAATATATATTTTTAATTATTGAATCAGCTGTTGGTCAGGTTACTTCTTGTCATTAACTCTAAAATAGTTACTGAATCAAGTGTTTACTTCCATCCATCCTTGGGGGTAGCAGCCTCAGTAGGGAGGCCCAGACTTCCCTCTCCCCAGACACTTGGACCAGCTCCTCCAGGGGAATCCAAAGGTGTTCCAAGTGTTTGCTTTGTAGGTAAAATTAGATGTTAAACAACCATTAAAATACACCAGAATGCAGGAAATGGCATCTACTTTATTCAAAATTTTCTGGGGGAGGACCCCCAGCCCCCCCCCCCCCCCCCCATTATAAATGCTTGTGACACCAGTGGCCAACACGTTACGAAATAAGTACATACATGATGTCATGTGATGTTCAAAGTGCGTTCAACTTAATTCAGTCCGGATGATTTGTGTCAATGAGCATTTCGAGTTTTATACATAAAAATACACTTGATACTTACAATTTTAAGTATATTTACTGTATATTATGATAATTTATTCTGTATTTTGCCAGATTATGGTGATTCTGGGGTCGTGATGATGGCTACAGTGAAGTGTTAATCTGGCCCTGACTGCATCTGCCTTAACCAGTCATCACTAATTTTGCCTCAGTCTGTTCCGTTTGCAAAAGATATTTTGCAGTCAGCTTTGTGCGTTGGAAAAATAGCTCATGACCCACTGGACAAGCTGTAATAAAACTAATGGCAGCACCTTTTCTAGCTCAATGTTTGAAGCTAACCCAATTCAAAATGGCCTCCATGTGCAGCTCATCACAAAAATGGTTACAACTCAGTCAATTTAACATTCTGCTTACTTTTGGTGTTGTAGCTGAGTCATTCCTAACACCTGCTCCGAGTGTTATCTGTTGCACTACCAGAGCTTGGCTTAAAACCTTAAACGCAGTTAACCTTCGTTAGCAAAATATCTCATGAACCGTTGGATGGATTTTAATGAAACTTTCTGAACATAACCATTGGATGCACAACTGATAAATCTGACAGTCCAGTTTATGATGGCTGCCACAGCTAATCAGTTTTAAGAAACCAAAAAAAGAAAAGAAAAGGTTTTTAACTCAATTTCACTGAGATTGCGCTCAAATCTGTTGGTAGTAGCTGAGAGTCATAACCAGCACATGAGCAATCCTCACGTACGGTAGTTCGTTTTAAGGTTCGACCAAAGCAGTCGTCATTTCTCGACGCTCTTCGTTTAAAACGGCGCTGGGTGATGTGCGTTCCTTCAGCGAGTACCAGGCCTTTAATTGTGAAGGCGATGACATGTTTAAAAGTTTATTAAAATAAAGTTAACATTTATTAAACTGAGTTGAGTCCCTTCCTCCACATCAAAACAGAGCCATCCATTCAGAGCGAGGCCTGCAGCTTCTCCAAGGCTGAAATCGAGATCGAGTACTGTCCCAGCAAAAAAATTAAAAATGCTGCAAAAGTCTTTGAGGTTCAACACACGTTGATTAGAAAAGTCGAGACTCGTGTCTTTTTTTTTTAGTTTTCCTTCTGCTCCAAACGACTGCGTTCAGGTCAGCAGCTGCTGCAGCTCCTCCACCTCCAGCTTCCACATCTGTCTGTGAAGAGCAGCAAAGTCTGAGAGGTCTGCCATTTTCACAGCACGGACGACCGGCTCCGGGGACACGGCCTCGACGACGCCCATCACCATAACGTATTTACCTGCAAGAAGAGCAGCAGGACCGTCAACACCTGACGGTGTAGGTTTGAACAGACGTAGCTGTGGGATGTGATGTGAAGTCTTTACGATGAACAATTTGTAAATCTCATCTAATTGGAACATTGTCATTATTTAACCAGGAATCTAATGAACTGAAGAGTAGAGAAAATGAGTGGTTTCAAAATACAATACTGCAACACTGATTGTGAAAAAACCTAAACTGATTATATTGAAATAAAATACAAACATGCTTCAGTCATTTAGTCTTTCAGCTTTTCCCTCTTCGGGGGTCGTCCTCCATCTCTCTGTCCTCACTCTACTACCTCCATGTTCTCTAGCTGCATCCACATATCTCCTCTTTGTCTTATTCCTGGCAGCTGTATTTCTAACATCCTTCTACCAGTATACCCACTGTCCCTCCTCTGGACATGTCCAAACCATCTCAGTCTCTAACTTTATCTCCCAGTTGTTCAACCTGTGCTGTACCTCTGATGATCTCATTCCTAATCTTATCCATCCTTGTCACTCCTAAGGAGAACCTCAGCATCTTCATTTCTGCCACTTCCAGTTTTGTCTCCTGTCTTTTTGTCCATGTCTCTGTCTCCAGACCAGACAACATAGCTGGTCTCACCACTGTCTTGTAAACTTTTCCTTTGACCTTTGTTGACATCCTTGTCACAAATAACTCCTGAAACTTTTCTCCATCCTGCCTGGACTCTCTTCTCCTCCTCTTTACCACACTCCCCATTTTCCTGGACAGTGAACTTGAACCCCAAGAACTTGAAGTCCTGCACCTTTGTGACCTCTGCTCCTCACTGTTCCGTCGGCCGCCTCCTCATTCACACACAAGACTCTGTCTTACTACGGCCTACTTTCATTCATTTCAGTCATTTATGATATATACAGTATATATATACATATATCCATCCATCCATTTTCTTCTGCTTATCCGGGGTCGGGTCGCGGGGGTAGCAGCCTAAGTAGGGAGGCCCAGACTTCCCTCTCCCCAGCCACTTGGTCCAGCTGAGAAACATAGTCCCTCCAGCGTGTCCTGGCTCTTCCTCTGGGTCTCCTCCCGGTGGGACGTGTCCGGAACACCTCACCAGGGAGGCGTACAGGAGGCATCCATCCTAACCAGATGCCCGAACCATCTCAACTGGCTCCTCTTGACGTGGAGAAGCAGCGGCTCTACTCTGAGTCTCTCCCGGATGACCGAGCTTCTCACCCTATATCTAAGGGAGAGCCCAGACACCCTGCGGAGAAAACTCATTTTGGCCGCTTGTATCTGAGAACTTGCTCTTTCAGTCACAACCCAAAGCTCATATAGATGAGGGTAGGAACGTAGATCGATCGGTAAATTGAGAGCTTCGCCTTTTGGCTCAGCTCTCTCTTCACCACAACAGACCAGTACAGCGCCTGCTTCACTGCAGACGCTGCACCTATCCGCCTATCGATCTCACGTTCCATTTTTCCCTCATTCGTGAACAAGACCCCGAGATACTTGAACTCCTCCACTTGGGGCAGGACCTCCTCCCTGACCCGGGGAGGGCACTCTACCCTTTTCCGGCTCAAGACCATGGCCTCGGACTTGGAGGAACTGATCTTCATCCCGGCCGCGTCACACTCTGCTGCGAACCGCTCCAGTGAAAGCTGTAGATCACGACCTGATGAAGCCAAAAGGACCACATCATCTGCAAAAAGCAGAGATGTGATCCTAAGGACACCAAAACGGATCCACCCAACACCTTGGCTGTGCCTAGAAATTCTGACCATAAAAGAAGTCCAATATCCAATATCTGTCTAATAGATACTGTACATATATATGTACAGTATCTATCTATCTATCATATATATATATATGTAACATTTTTTAATATTGTCCAAGCAAAATATAAATGCAAACAAATTAAGGATTCATGTTAAGTATTTTTTCCTAGTTCAACAACTTTTAGATGTATTTTAAAAAAAATCTTTATTATAATTTTTGTGTGTGACATTTAAAATACCCATGGACATTATAAAGAGTTGTAAACATAAACCGTCCCAGAGGACCTAACTCAACTTTGTTAGATTTTTCTACCTGGATTATTAATCAGGATATTATTATTATTACCTGGAAAAAAACAGGGTTTCCCTCTTGGGATGTTGTTAACACCTTGAACTGTAAATGTTCCCGTCTCATCCATCAGCAGCACGGTGTTTCTCTCCAGCTGCGCCTCCATGACTGTCCCCTGCATCCACACCAGTGACGCCCGCAGAGAGCGACCTCTGGCCGCTCTGATCAAGAAGGCCTCCCCGCCGGAGCTGCCAGCGGCCGCCCGGTTTCCTGCCGCCCTCAGCTGGCCGGACAGCACCTTAACGGGGGGAGAACGTCTCTGCTCACCGCCTGTTTCCTCCACAGCGAACATTGTAGGAGGACTGCTGTCTTTAGACGGTGGAGGCCTCCAAGGGAAGTTTTCATGTCTAACCGCCAAACAGCCTTAACCGGAAGTTAAATTTCCTGGTTTCCGGAATGAGAACTTTCAAAATAAAACGCTGTTTCGAACGCGCTTGCTTTAAACACAAAAAAGTTAAATGTCATCTGAACAGATTATTTTTGGAAGAAACGTTTCGTTTTTCATCCGAAAGACTTCATCAGTCTGAGGCCTGCCGACAAGATTTGTTGTATTAAACAGACATGTCTGTGGTATTTTGTTGACTTGTTTCAAACCAGTCAGCTGTGGATTTTCCAGAAACTGGCTTGAGGCTCAAAACCTGGTTTATAACAATTAAATAATGTATGACATTCATTCACAAACCAAATCAGACATGTTCCTGTTGTTAGCATTTTACACCACTTTATAATGTTGCTTTTTTGTTTCGTTTTATTATTTCTTTTATTTACTTTTTCATTTATATGCTTTTTTATGATTATGTCTATTGTTGTTTGTACCTCATCTGTATTCTTTGTTTAAAACAAGTCTCTCTTGCAAACAAGTCCTCGTTAACTTAAATAAATAGATCTTGAAATAAATAAAAATAAATCTCAAAATAAAATAATAAATCTTGTGGGGAAAAAATATATTTAAAATGGTATTTCATGGGAACATCTATTTATTTAATGGGATATTTATTAATAAATTTTAAATAACACAAGTTGTAGGTTTCATGGCACAACTTTCTAGATAAGCTCTTTCAAAGTAAAAGTGTCACATATTTTTAGTGTATAGAATGATTTGGCAGAAATTATAAAAACAAAGTAGAGGCTCCAAGTGTGCATTTTTGGTATGTCTGAGTTTAAACAGTAATATGTTCCAGGACAAATCACTTCATAAATAATGTATGACTTTATATATAGTTAGTAATTTTTGAACCAATTGGAACATAATTAAAAAAGAACATGACATAAGAAGGTCAAGACCTAGGAGTGATAAATATATTTTCTCTCAGAGCAACAAAAGTGGAAGGGAAAAGTCATATTCTTCCACTTGGGCTTTTTTTAGATACAAGAAAATCAGCTCATGTCATAGTAGGTTTAATAAGTAGAAACAAATTCAGGATTAAAATTTGCTGCACTGTAAAATTAAGTGGTTTGGATTTTTGTTTCTATAGAAAACAGTTATTTGAAAGAAAATCAAATACAAAATAAAAATTATAACTTTTCAATTTTTGTGCTAATCTACTACCATATCTATTTCTAATCCACATTTTGCTAAAAAAAAAAAAGGCTTGGTTGAATTTATCCTGAGGTGAAAACCCTTGTGAAAATGCAGTGGGTGAATTAAAAAAAACAAGTAAAGTGACAAACTTTTTTCATTAAATAATTTTTATTTTCTTAAGAATAACTGAAGAAAAGTGTTAGCAATTTCTGTACATTTATTTTCCCTTAGATTTGTTGAAAACCTCGAATGATCGACAGGGCTGAGAAATGTTACGCTGCCACATAGTGCACTTTTCACATAAAAAGAATTGAATTAGTCCACAGGCATCCAACAGTTTCCTTCAAATATATTCCAAAAAGTTCCTTAAGTCTCGTCGTCTCCAGTTTTACTTTTCGCTGGCTCCTCTTCTCAATCCCAGTTCATCATCGTGAAAAAGGAGGCACGTTAAAAATACTGCCATTTGCCAAGGACTGTGTCTTTGATTGCATCGACAAACTGTGTAGGCACCCAGTACACCCAGTACTGAGAAGCTTCTGTTGGACCCAACTGAAAAGCCTACAAAAGAGGGAAAATGGTGAGTACTGGTACACTGAAAGTATTTTGGGATTCAAGCATTACGGCCTGTTTAAAAGCACTGATTTGACTGTAGATACGGTTTTAAATGCAATTCTACAAGAAAATTAAATAAAGGGAAAGAAAAAAGAAAATAGATGAAAATAAGAGAAAACTTAAATGGAACAAGAAAATGAAAGAAGGAAAAAAACAAAAAACGCAGAACAAACTGGAAAATGCACAAAGATGAAGTCATAAAAAGAAATAAACTGAATAATAAAGCCATATACAGATGGACTGTACTTTTTTTTTTAAAGCAGTTAAAAGTTGAGTTTTCCCACATGCTAACAAAGGTTCAGGTCTTTCTGTAAACTCCTCATTTAGTAAAATATTCAGAAACTTCCTCTGCAAAGTGAGTGCGGGTCGGGAAAACCCAAGACCGTTGAATACCGATACTGAACTCTGCTGTCTGCCTGTCACGATAACAAATTTTGCTGAGCGATTAATTGTCTCAAAAATTATTGTGATAAACGATAATATTGTTTGAAATTTGATAATAATTAGTAATTATTGTCAAACTTAAGAAGAAATGTTTGTCAATTTGTTTTGCAAGCAGTAACTTTTTTGACAACTGGATGGCAGTATAAGACTGTTTGAACCGAAGGATGGATAGTGAGGGAGCGAGCAGCGTTTTCTAAGAAAAATGGGAGGGAGGCCCCTTGACGTGACGTGGGCTGTCTCTTCCTGTTTTTCAGTTCTCAAAATGGCGAACGCTGGGTGTGGTTTGAGCTCTTTAGCATAGCCCAACATTTTTCAGTCAGGTCATCTGGACAGTTTCTTTTTTTTGTGCTGAAACGTTTCGCCTTCGGTCCAGAAGGCTTCATCAGTCAAGGAAACACAACAAAACTGATTCTTCCTCTCACAGCTTACTCCAAAGTGGAACACACCAGTTCTGCTTGTGATAAGATGGTCTCTTTGGTACGCCCCCTCCTCTATTGCCGGCCCTCTTCCTTGTTGACAGTCTTGTCAAACTGGTTGAAAACAACAAAGTCCTTGTTCAGTCATGGTCCTTCATCATTCAAGTGTTTCCTTGACTGATGAAGCCTTCCGGACCGAATGCGCAACGTTTCAGCACAAAAAAAAAAAGAGAAAAGAAACTGTCCAGATGACCTGACTGAAAAATGTTGGATTGTATACCTGGATTATTGAGCATGGACTTTGTTCTTTAGCATAGCATTTTTCACACAAAGCTTTTAATAAAAAAAAATCAGTAAACAAGTTCTCAGCTTCTTTTTGCAGAGAAAAACAACTTTTTAGACGAAGGCACGGGCTTCAACTGTGAATTTTGGAGTTTCGACAAGATGGAAGTTTTTTCCAGAGGTCAGCCTGTTAGCTTAGCTCGTAGCTTAGCTTCTCAGCTTAGCTGCTCTCAACGATCCAAAAACGTGATTTTGGACGGTTAAAACAGATTTTAAAGAGAAAAGAGAAAGGGAGGAGAGAAGAGGAGCCAGTTGAGGTGGCTCGGGCATCTGGTTAGGATGGATGCCTCCTGGACGCCTCCCTGGTGAGATGTTCCGAGCACATCCCACCGGGAGGAGACCCGGAGGAAGACCCAGGACACGCTGGAGGGACTATGTTTCTCGGCTGGCCTGGGAACGCCTCGGGATTCCCCCGGAGGAGCTGGACCAAGTGGCTGGGGAGAGGGAAGTCTGGGCCTCCCTACTCAGGCTGCTACCCCCACGACCCGACCCCGGATAAGCAGAAGAAAATGGATGGATGGAAGAGAAAGGGAGGGGTCAGTGAAGAGCACCGGAGTTGAGCCTTTTGTCATCCAGTGTCTTCAGTAGAAAGAGAGACACGAAGAAACAAAGCCGATAAATGAAAATGAGGTTGATAATTTTCATTTATCATGCGATTAATTGATTTGTTGCTCATCGCGACAGGCCTTCTTTGTCTAGTTGGATCCGTTTGTCTTCACTGACTCTTTTGGATTTATAGCATCAAAACAACCATCTCTGGACATGGGACACGTCTGTCTACTACGACAGAATCTTTCTAAAACAGCGCCCGAGAGCTGAACAAACAAAACACAGTTCCATTTTACAACGTCAGATTAATAAAAAAAAACACAAACTACAAAAAATGTACGTCCCTGTAGACCTCAGATCTAACCCCTTCAAGTAAAGTCAGCTGAACTGACATTTGATGTTCCATATTACTTTTGTAATATTAACCTGAACAAATATAAAACAGGTCTGACAGAAACTTCTTTTGTGGGAAAGCCATAAATCTTTAGACCCATAAAAAGAAAACGAGAAATTAGTTCGCAAAACACATCACTGAATGAACAACCAGCAGTACGCAAGTGTAAAAAAAAAATATACAAAAATCCCCTGAAACTGTAAACCAGTCCGACCATCATTGGTTTTATCATCAATACCTTCCAACCCCTCCACTGATCCTGGTGCAGGGAAACAACGAGCAAAGCACAAGAATCACGTTTTATTTAGCGAGTCCAAATTTAAAACGCCAAGCCGAGCCTGTAATTCAATATCTGGGCGGTGCAGGTGTAACTCTACATTGATTCAGATGTGGTTGACAGGGTGTGACACCACCGTATTGATCCTGTGTGCATGTCCAGATCTGTACGATGGAACAAGAGTTCTAATACCTCAGTTGGAGGTGCTAAATAAATCAAGAAAATTAAATTTTGCACAGATATCTGATATAACGGTCACCAAGAGTTTCAACTCACCTATAGCTTGTAGTAAAGAACTATATTTTACAGTTGGACATTAATACAGTGAGTTGAAGTTATTCCATTCTGATCTGGTACCTGCAGTACTGAGAAAACCTTGTGAGTCATCCCTCATTTATTTATAATTTGTTTCCAGTGAGCCAGACTTTATTGGTCTTGATCAATAATTTCCTCAGCCTTTCTGAAATGCACTTAAACTTCTTTAGATATTGGCTGCTCTTTCACTTATATTCTGTGTGGTTCAAATCAGAACCTGGCCCTTTTCAGAGGATTGCATTTTTATGTAAAAGCTATTTAAGTCTGATCCATGAATCATTCAGGCGTAAAGTGTCTCCTAAGGTCAAGGGAAGAATCAGGGTTGTGGTGACAAGAGACAACTTGGCAAACAACTCATTTTTCAAATGGATATTTAGGTACTTTGTTAATCTGTCAAAGACAATTTATTTGAGATAGAAGCACAACAATAGAACAATTTTACATATAAAATAGTATTTTAGCGCATAGTATGATGTAATTCTTAGATCCTTCTTGTTTCTTAAAAACACTGTTTTAAAATACCGTGTTTATTTGTTGTAAATCCTACAGTTAGGGTCGGCTTGGGTTTCCTGAGCTATCCCTTAGTTATGCTGCTATAGTTGTGTGTTGACGTTGTGGGAGTAAGTGTGACTTCTCCTCCCCATATATATATTTGGGGAGCGGTGGCGCAGAGGTTAGAAGATGGGCCTGTGATCAGAAAGTCACAGGTTCACCTCCCGGTACCGTCAATATCAACAAAATGTGGATGGAAAAGGTGGAACACCCACACCTCCCTCCACCCTCATTGGCCTCACTCTGGGCCCCTGAGCAAGGCCCTTAACACCCCCCCCCCCCCAACTGCACCCTAAACAGGTCTCTCTTGAAAATGAGTTCTCGTCGCTCAACGAGACTACCTGTATAAATAAAGGGCAAATGGAAAAAGAAAAGGCTTAGACTGCTGGAGGACCAACTGACCACACTTTCACTCTGCTGCTGTCTTTACTTCCTCTGCTCAACCTGTTCTGTATTTGTAATTATTTTTTCTATCCTTGACGTGTGTTTTTGTCTTTCAGGTTCACCTGCACCAACATCTGGACCTGCCAGTCTGTGTTCGTCTGTCTCTCCTTCCCGTCCTCTCAAACCCAGACAGTTGAAGCAGATGGCCACTTGTCATGAGCCTGGTTCTGCTGGAGGTTTCTTACATTTAAAAGAGAGTTTTTTCTTTCCACTGTTGCCACTGTGCTTGCTCAGGATGGGCGACAAAGTGAAGATTCAGTGAGTCTGCTGGCCTCCTTCCTTAGATAGAACTTTACTAATTGGCTTTTCAATGTCTATGAATGTTTCTGTAAAGTGCCCTGAGACAACTTTGTTGTGAAATGGCGCTATATAAATAAACTGAATTGAATTAAATAAATAGTATGTTTTAGGCCCAACACTTTTCTCAGGTTTTAAGCACACACTGCACAACATGCTGTCATGGTCAGCTACAAAAACTGGACAGCAAAGTGGAGATAAAGCAGCCAAAGTCCATTTTTTTTTCCAGAAAGCCCAGAGAACTGTTATTCAAGAAGACCTCTGAAAGATAACAAGAAAACCTGGCTGCTTGGAAGAAAGGCTTAAATAGACTACGAGTGGTTGAAATTTTTATACTGAATCTGTCAAAGATTATATTTAGACATATAGTTCTCTGAAAACACATTTTGATCTTCTGGATCTGACTAAATAAATGGGGAGAAGTCACACTTACTCCCACAACTTCAACAAACAACTAGAACAGCTGTTTATTTAAAGAAGTCTCTTCTGCTACAAATAAATGGAACAACTTTATCTTCTCAAATGCATTCAGTGACACCTCAAATGTACACATCTGTTGTGGTGTTGGAGCATGTGACTTTTGTTGTTGTTGCTGTAAAACATAAATAAGACAAGCAGGAAGCAGAGAAGAGTTACCATCATGTGATAATCCTCGTGGCCTTCGATGGGTTCAGACACTACGTTTTTTATGGAGCCCATTGGGACTTTTTCTGTTCTCTCTGTAGGCGGAAAACCAAAAAAAATATTACAAACAAAATGTTAAAAAAACGTTAGAAATAAACGGAGCCCAACCATCAACTCACCTTTTGTTCCAATCCATAACTGATCTTGCTCCAGTTTGAACGTGAGTCTTACTTTTCCTCCGGACTTGTTAAACATTCCAGATAAAGGCACTGTCGGCAGCCGCTCCTGTTTGCGGCACAAGGCAGCCGTTAATCTGTTAGCTGCATACATAAACACAGCTCTACGTACAGCATGTTAGACAAAACTACAGCCAAAAGGCTCTCACCTTTGCTCCTTTAACAGCTGGCATAATGTCTTCTGGTTTACCTTTGTCTAACACTTTCCTGTGTTGCTGTAAATCACAACGCAGGCGCAAATAAAATCACAAACACTTGAATGTTTGACAGAACTTCAAAAAATTGTGCGAAGCCTCACCTTTTGCCTGCATAAAGGTTCTTTCTTGTTTTCTTCAGCTTTAACTTCCTGCTGGATGACCTCTTTAGGCGTGTTAACAGCTAATACATCATTTATTGTGGATCCTACCACCATTATTTTTGCACCATTCGTGATCTTTATTTCACGTAGTGTCTTGTCCTCTGGAAGCAATCCTTTGTACATCACTTTCTGCATTGCCGGTGGAAGACCTAACAAAAGACGGAGAAAAGGCAGTGAGCTTGTTTTAAAAAAAAAAAAGAAATTTATAGACCATATCTAGTCACATTTAAAGTTCACCAGTGAGTGAGTGAATCCTCTCTTTGAGTTTGGCTCCGGTGCTGTCGACGGCGATTTTCAGATCGTATTTGTTCTTGTTCCAGATAATCTTCAGATCCACCGTCTCCTGGTTGTCATCTGCGTCGTCGCCATTGCTAATACTAGAGTCCTGAGTTGTGGCATTTCCTGCATCTGTGTGACAAGCAGCTTCGGCGTCGGCCTTCTCGACATCTTCGCCAAGTGGTTCGGCTTCATTCAGCTTTGCCTCGGTTTCCATCGTGACTCCTTCACTTCCTGCAAAAATACAAGTTATTTGGTGAAACAAAATTATTGATGCTCTAATTATTAAGTCTCGAAATACAATGAGAGGAGGAGAAGAAAAAGGAGACGGTTGTGGACGGTTCATGGTTAGAAAAAAGATGCACCTGTTCCACAAAACAACTTTCCAAGAAAGTTTGTTGCGCAAATTTAAGTAGTTTTTGGTCGTGAGAGCCAAATTGGCTGTCACACTGAACAACCCACTAATTCAAGCTGTCACGATAACAAATTTTGCCGGGCGATTAATTGTCTCAAAAATTATCGCGATAAACGATAATACTGTTTGAAATTTCACAATAATTAGCAATTGTCAAATTTAAGAAGAATGTTGGTTAATTTTTGTGTGTAGTACCTTTTTTGACCACTAGATGTCAGTATAAGACTGTTTGAACCGAAGGATGGATAGCGAGGGAGCGAGCAGCGTGTGTAAGAAAAATGAGAGGGAGGCCCCTTGACGTGACATGGGCTGTCCCTCCTTCCTGTTTGTCGGCTGTCAAAATGGTGGACACTCAGTGTGGATTGAGCTCTTTAGCATAGCATTTGTCACACAAAGCTTTTAATAAAAAAAAATCAGTAAACAAGTTCTCAGCTTCTTTTTGCAGAAAACAACTTTTTAGACAAAGGCACTGGTTTCAACTGCAAATTTTGGAGCTTCGACAAGACGGAGGTTTCCCCCCCCCCCACCGAGGTCGGCCTGTTAGCTTAGCTCGTAGCTTAGCTTCTCAGCTTAGCTGCTTTTAACGATCCAAAAACATGATTTTAGATGGTTAAAACAGATTTTAAAGAGAAAGGGAGGGGTCAGTGAAGCGCACCGGAGTTGATCCTTTTGTCATCCAGCGTCTTCAGTAGAAAGAGAGAGACATGAAGAAACGATAAAGCCGATAAAAGAAAATGAGGTCGATAATTTTCCTTTATCAAGCGATCCATCCAGCGGTCTGGATCCATTACTGGTCGCAGACTGAACCAGACTGGTGGAGAAAAGGATGCTGAACAGACTGCTGCCCATAAGAGACAACCCAGAACATCCTCTCCAACACAGACGAAGAGAAGTGCACTTTCTAACAGGCTAGGGGTGCACCGATAGCAGATTTCTGGCCGATCACCGATTTCTAAAAAGTCTCATGTGCTGATTGCGATTTTGTTTCTAAGCGACACTGTCGGGTGTTATAACGTCACAATGCACCTTCAATTTTCAGTCTTATTTTATTAAAAACATACCCTTGAACAATATCCTAGAAACAATACAAACTTGTTTCAACTGGCCATGAGGTAGTGCTCTGAAATATAAATGAAGTTCAGACAATTGTTGTTAAAACAAGAAAAATCTGTTTCTCGTGTATCGTCCGATTTCCCAAATTTAAGCCGCTGTTGAAGCAACTTTTACAGAAAAACTTTCCTACTATTGCCTATTACACTATTTAACAAAATCGGATTGATTGTAATAAATGCAGCCTCTGTTTGTTATTCTTGCAGTTTTAATCACATTTTGCAATTTTATTACACAGTTGTCCATTTTTCACATCCTTTTATTCTGTTTTAATATCTCCTTCTTGATAAATGTACTGTAGTGTCATCTGAAAATTTCTGACAGCATTTTTAATTGTTTAGCAATTGAGTCCTTTTCATAAGTATAATACAAATTAGTTGGAATGTTTGTGCAACTTAATCTGAGAATATATTTTTATATTTTTCTTGTTTTACTGCACAGTAACCAGAGCGTTTAAAACATGTTCAATAAAGTAGTTTCGCTTTTTGTGCTACTTTCTGTATCGAGTTCCTTCCAGCTCTTTCCACTGTTTTCCCTCCCTATCTGCTGAACATCAGTGGAGGTTTGGTGCTGGGTATTTTCTGGAATAAAAGCAAACTATAGTTTTTATCCTAATTTATTTCTACAAAAACAACTTCTCTAAAAACGCCGAATGCCTCACTTACATAAAACGGGTCCACGTATGATACAACATTCTGACAGTTCATTAACATTCCTCAAGATGTTTAATTCCCCATTTAACACTTTAGGATTATCAATAGAAATCAGGCATTTGTTATTTTTTCATACCCCAACGCTACATGACTATAGCTAAATGTAACGTTCGCTAACTGAAACGCACTCGTGAGCATTTTTTAGAAGCAGCGTTAGTGAAAAACGTAAAATTTGTGCTACATCTCTTGATTGTACCACATATTAACGATTCTAAGAGAGTAATTTACGGTTTCATTAAAACAGTTTAAGTTAGAGTCAAAATACTGGCGGAATTTAGCTAATCTTTCTCTGTACCCACCATCCTGCGTCGCCATGATGATTGTGTACAATCCGTAGATTGTGCGCAGAGAGTACGGGAAGCGGGATGGCTCATACAGGAAACGAGAATCGAAAAAAAAAAAAAAAAAGTATATTCAACGACACATTTAACTTTCACACAAAACATACCCCTAAATAATATTATATTTACATGTCAAAGTAGACAGTTACTATTACTTTCAATATGCTAAAACATTTGTTGTTTGGGTAATTTGTCGGAGAAAAAAGCCCACAAAAGATAATTGCAAACAACAACAAAAAAGTCGTGTTGGTAATGAAATTAAATTTTAAGTAAGTGACACACAAACTTATTATTCTATCTTAAAAAGATTTTATGTTGATTTCTTGGTCACGGCAGGAAGAATGAACAAACCCGGAAACGTCTGATGGGTTATGCTCTTGATTTATTACTCCTCTTTGTTGTGGCAGCCCAAAAAAACATGGAAATTTTTCATTCAGCCTTTATTTATACAGGTTAGTTTATACAGGTTAGGGAATATGGCACTTTGAGCAGCATTTTTGTCTTCTTCTTCTTTAGTTGAATACATAAATACTATCTGTTTCCAAGCGTCTAATTGTGCTAAATGAAAGTGCCTACATAAAGTTAAACCTTACAATTTAACTATTTAATGGACTATGATCTGTTTTCTACTCTTTTCTCTTGAAAAAAAAAAAATATTTAAATGATATCGGCCCCCACACCTTTTTTTTTGAAGTAGACAAGTACATCTTTTTTTAACGATAACTAAATCATGTTATGAATATTTATGGAGCAATACACTAAATCACCGTTGTATCGTTTTGTTTAATGCAAATAGAGCTAAGCTACTGAAAAATTGAGTAATTGCAGTGCTTTTTTTTAAATCGCTTTGTTCTTCCATCGAGGCAACACACTGCTTTGTGACAAAACTACAAAAAATACTTGCATTCAATTACTTTTAAAGCAAAAACAAACAAATAAACAAAAAATAAATCGAAATTTCGCTGGCGTGTGTTCCTCTTAGCCACCTGTAGAGGGCAGCAAATCTAATCTGTAAATGACACACGAAGAAGAAGAGACAAAAAGTGTCACGAAGAAGAAAACTGAGTGGAAAAAAAGGGGGGAAAAGACCCACAAAGAAGTGGTTAATTAAAGTCACAAGTAGTCATGTGTACTGTGAATATCAGGAGGCTAGTGTTCTTGTGACTCTACTGTCTCCATCCATTAAACTGTAACAAACAGCGGCGGAGACTTGGAAGTCCAGGTTTGCTTCCACATGGGAGTCTTCGGAGTTGTATCAGATTACTCGATGAAAAGTTTAAAATCCGAGTTGTATTAGGAGGATTACGGTATGATGGCAGACAGACGGACTATCAATGTTGTGATTCTGGGTGTGGGGTTTCTGCTCATTTTCACCGCCTTCACCACCTGTGGGAACGTTGAAGTAAGTTGTATTATCATCTTTATTATATTTACATTAAAAACTACAACCGTTTGAGGTTTAGGTGTTATGTATAGGAACGCAAACGTTCTAATTCGTGTCTACGTGTGCAAGTCTGTTAGCAAAATATCTCAAACCACTGAATTCATTTTTTTTATTCAATTTACAAAAAGTAGTTGCTGGATGCACATCTAGAAGTTATTACCTTTTTGGAGTCAGCTTGACTCAAGATGGCTGCCACAGCTAACTTTAAATACAACGAAAAAATATCCCAAAAGCTTGGTCACTTTTACAGACAACGACCTAACATTTGGTGTGGTAGTAGCTGAGCCTGATACTCAGTTTATATTCTGAGCACTTACAGATTTTGCAACATCTCTATGTAAAATTTAGCCAATAACTATTAGTGAACGCTGGTTGTCTGTTAGCAAAATATCTCACTGGATTTATTACAAGAAAACAGTCATGAAGTCATCACTGGATATACATGCACAACTGATTCACTTTTGAAGCCATCCCGGATCAAGATGGCTGCTACATCTAAAGTGATTGTTAAAAACATAACAATGGTTGCAATTAGTCCATTTTTGCAAATATTGTTATGATAGTAGCCGAGTTATTCCAAATGTACTAAAACGTTCTAGCAACTTTATTAATAAATGTTGGAGCCAAATCTGTTAGCAAAATATCTCACGAGTCATATTGAAGTTGGCCACCACCGCTAACGAACACTCGCCTACACAAAAGTCGCTACAATAACTCAAAACTCCGAGGTCGCCACAGCGAACTAAAACTCGGCTATTGTTTTTACACCAGATGCCCCCTCAACCACAGACCACCGAGCTACCACAGCCTCTGTGTGGAGCGGAGAGCTGCCGTCTAGGGCGCCCAGGGGAGCAGATGGTGGGGGTTGAGGGCCTTGCTCAAGGGCCCAGAGCGGGGCAAATTAGGGTGGAGGCAGGTCTTCACCTTTCCCACTCAGTTTGATAGTGGTCCAGAGAGTCGATCCGGCGATGTTCCCATCACAGCCTCACCTTCTCGAACATCTGCACCAGCTGAAATGTGGTGTGGTAGTAGCTGAGAGTCGTTAACAACATGCTCCGAGATCTTGCGAGTTTGTTTTAAGTGTTTGGCTACAACTCTTCATTTCTCATCACAGTCTGGCATGAACAGCAGTGAGCAGTCTTCATTTTGTTAAGTAGTACATACATTTTTATTGTATTCATTCTAAATAAACGGAGAAATTGAAGCGACCCTCAAATCTAAGCGCGAAAAAAAAAGGGAGTGTCAGTCGCATCTCGTGTTTCTGATTTTCTGCCACGATCGGATCAGAACGACGACCTCACTCCCTTCTCGCGACACTAATCTGATTCGTCACTTTCGTTTCAGCAAACTGTGGTGAAAAGTCTGAAAAACTCTACGTTCAGTGGAAGTGGATACCACAGGTACGTAAAGGGCAGAAGATCATTTTAAAAACGTTTAAGCATAAAAGTACAGACTTTTTGTGTGTTTTTAACAGCTTAGGCATCATCTATGGAGTCTTCTCGTTCTCTAATTTGCTCGCGCCAACCGTCGTTTCGGTGCTCGGAGCGAAGCTGAGCATGTTTCTGAGCGGCCTGCTTTACAGGTAAACGTGCAGAAAGTGAGAGACGCAGTCTTGGAGGACGTTGATGCTGAAACGTGGATGTGTTTGTCTTCAGTGGTTATGTTGCCGTGTTCATCCTCCCCACCTCGTGGTCCTTCTACCTCACCTCGGTTCTCATCGGGATCGGAGCAGCCTGTAAGATCGCAATTCTCTTCCTCGTTGGAAACTTGCTTTTATATTTGAGTTCGAATATGATGAATGTATGATTTTGTTAGACTTAACGGAAAAAATAAAACGGAAGTGAAGAGCTAATAGCTTTCTATTATTTGATGTTATTTTCTATTCTTTATTGTGTGAATGTTCAGCATTCACTCTGTTGTGATCCATTTTTCTTCTGTACGTTTTTCGGCGTGTTTCTCATCCCGCAGTTTTCAAGCTGCTGTATTTCAACAAATCAAAATGTTCAGCTCATTCAGGACAATCCTGCTATGACTTTTGGTATTGGTGCAACTTTAGCTTTTTGAAATATTTAGCCTTTTCTGCCACTTTTTTTTCCTCATAGAAAATGAATTGAGCTCATTTTTCATCCTTTAAATCTTTAGCTCTGTTTACAACATTTTACTGCTCCTTTCACATTTTGTGCTGGTTCAGCTTCTTTCAGCTTCCTTGTGCAAACAAACCTTTCAGCTAATTTCAGCTGTTTTTTTAACTGTTTTGTGCTCCTTTCAGACCCTTTCTGCTAATTACAACATTTTTGTGCTTCTTCTAACTTCGTTTTGCTAATTTCAACTTGTTATGCACCTTTCAGCTTCTTTCTGCAAGTTTCAGCCTTTTCTAATACTTCAGCTACTATTGAGCTGTTTTGTGCTATTTTTAGCCTTTTCAGCTAATTCCACATTTTTTTCCCTCATGTCAATTCATCAACAATGTGCTCTCTCCACTTCCTTCTGGTGATCTGTGCTTCTTTCTGCATTTTAGCTACTGTTCAGCAGTTTTTTTTGTGCTAATTTTAGCTTTTTGCAGATAATTGCCATTTTTTTGTGCTCATTTCTGTTTCTTTCAGCCTAATTGGGCAAACACGTGTTCTTTCTACTTTCTTCTGCTAATTTAAGCTTATTCTACCGTTTCAGCTACGTTTTTTTATATATATATATATTTTTTAGCTAATTTCAGCTGTTTTCAGCTAAACTCAAGTTTTTCATGGTAATTTCTGCAACTTTCAGAATAATTACCAGTAACTTATTCATGCTAATTTCAGCTTGTTATGCTCCTTTCATCTTAATTATGTTAGTTTCAGCCATTTCTGATACTTCAGCTACTATTTAGCTGTTTTTATGCTAATTTTATTTTTTTCAGCCAATTTCACATATTTTGAAATAATTTCAGTTCTTTTCACTTGCTTCTGGTAGTTTAAGCTTCTTTCTGCCTTTCAGCTACTTTTCAGCCATTTTTTTTTGTTACTAATTTCAGTTTAGCTACTTTCCCATTCAAACAAATATTTGTTCTTTCTGCTTTCTTCTGCTAATTTAGACTTGGTCTTCCATTTCAGCTCCATTTCTGCATTTTTTTTTAGCTAATTTCATCTGTTTTGATGCAATTTCTTCAGCAATAAGCATTTTTGCAGGAAATGCAGCTTGTCTAGCTTCAGCTGGAGCGTGCTCAGTCATAATGAAAGCAGCTTGCAGTGTAATAACAACAGCCTAATACCGATGCAAAATATTTCAGTGGCTGCCAGTGAAGCTCAGTGTCAGTGCTCCAATCCAAGCTGTATTTAATCCTGTATACAGGGATTATCAGATACTACCATGCTATAAGCAGAATATCCTGAATTAGACCTAAATGGGTTTTGGGACTGTGTCTCCAAATAGTGTGAGACGCCTTGAGCTTTGCTCATAAACATGAGTGAAAGTGGAAAGAAGAAAAAAACTTTGCTGAGCATTTTATGGAAAAATGAGGGTGACAAAACAATTTGGAGCTGTGGTTTTTTTATTTAACGCTGCCTCCAATCACTGCAGTTTATTCATTTTTATCATATCCCTGGGCTACCGTTACTGTTATAAAAAAATCCCTTTTCATGCGGGGAAATTAGTTTCTCTCCCCCTCCCCTTCTCTCAGTGCTGTGGACGGCCCAGGGACTCTTTCTGGTGGAGAACTCCGAGACCTCCACCATCAACAGGAACACCGGGATGTTCTGGGCTCTCCTACAGTGCAGGTACAGCTCACACAACCCTCAAGTTTTTTATTTATTTATTTTGTGCAGCAAGTTTTAGTTTTATAATTTCATCAGCTGTCTGTGCTGAATCATCTCCCCAATGCTTACCCGACCCCACAGTAACATCACCTGCAAACATCGCCATCATCACAAGTAACCCCTGGTCTGCAAGACGAACATTAAGTATATCAAAGTAACAGAACGCTGTATTTTACTGAAGCTTACTGGTTTTAACCACCAAAAGCAAACAAACAGCTTCAGAAACCACCAGTAGCACGTTGAGCTGCGGAAAAACAGATTTAGATCCAGAAGAAAATCAATTTATCAAGTATAATTTCTCAAATGACTCAGTTGAACATCACACCCAACCACTCAAAACCTTTTTTTAATGTCACTAATTGTCCAAAAAGGAGGGAGGGAGGAAACTTTAACTAAAGGTCATAATGTTTATGCTCTAAAAATCCTGAAGAGATTTGACACAGACGACTTTTGAAATACGCAACTAATTCCACATAAAGGGGCTTATATTAAAACCTCTCCAAGTCTGACTCACTGCTGCTCTAACAAAGATGATTGCACCTTTCGTTTTTATCAGATTTTTGTTTAGCTCGTCACAGTGGAGGAGTTTACGCGTCCTCCACGTATTTACGAGAGTCTTCTCCCACAGTTCAAACATGATGTTAGTCTGCCTTCAGGTCCAGGTCTCCCATGAAAAAGGTTGAATGAAGGTTCGACGTTCTTTATTGTCATTCGCATCACATGCGGTACATGAATAAATTGTGTACACAAGTTTCCAGTTACACCCAGAAAATAGCAAAAATATAAAAACAAATAAACCGTATACAAGGATCTAAGATATACGCTAAACAATAGTAATGTACCGTAATATAATACGGCATAATAAACAACAACGAAGTTTAATAATAACAATGAAGAACGGTACTCTAAGAAGTTTAAACGTCTTAAAAGTCATGAAAAAAGAACAGAGCATGAAGAGTTGACACAATCTGCTGGCTTCATTAAAAGTACACTTTGACTACCGTATTTTCCGGATTATACGTCGCTCCGGAGTTTAGCTTGCATCAATCAAAAAAATGCCTCAGGAAGAGGAAAACGTATATAAGTCACTTCGGAGTATAAGTGGCATTTATTTAGAAGTACGTTTCACAAAGTGCAAGGACAGACATTTAATCTGAAATAACAAGAACAGAGAGCATACCTGGGATTATGAACAGGATTAATTAACACAAGCCAACAAGTCTGACAAGCAAGTTACTGGTAAATTCACAAGTCTCATTCCACATCACTGAACCATTGAATTCTTCATCGTTGGTGTCGCTACTGGTTAGCAGAGGAGCAACAACGTATAGTTGACAAAAGCCTAGAGGGCCCTCTTGTGGCTGCAAATGGTAATGTTTACTCTTTGGTTCATGTCCGTATGAATGAACATTTAACATGTCAAGCAAAAATTGCGTCATGAATAGGGAAAAAAACTTAAAAAAAAGTAGTTTCGGACTATAAGTTGCAGGACGATAAATGTAATTTCATGATGTTCTTTATCTGAATCTTTATAGTAGAAATTAATTGACTGGAACTGAATGTATGACTTTTTTCTTGTATGTGATCATGTGACTATATGAGATGACTTTAGTTGTGAATTGACACAGTTGAACTAAACTGACAAACAAGTATACAGCACTGTTGAGTACAGAACAACAACAAAAAAAAGAAACCGTCCAGATGATCTGACTGAACATTGTTGGATTTTATACCTGGATTAGTGAGCACTGACGTTGGTAGTACTATTGAGTGTTCATCTTATATTACAGATCTTATTGTCCATATTTTCCTAACAGAGCACTTCGCTCTCAGACTGCAGGCTTACTTGTGGTTCCTAGAGTTTCCAACAGCAGAATGTGAGGAAGATCTTCCAGTTATCAGGCTCCTCTCTTGTGGAACCAACTTCCAGTTTCTGTCTGTGAGGATGACACATTGTCCAGTTTGAAGACTGAAGACTTTCCTTTTTGATAAATCCTATAGTTAGGATTGGCTTATGCTGCTATAGGCTTAGACTACTAGAGGACAAATTGACCTCATTTTTAAAAAATGAATAGTCAAATGCATACATATGAATAGTTGGCATTTCTATCTGAACACGTGATTCTCGACCTGCCATTGTGTATCTGTTCTTCCTTCCTGTTCCTCTCAAACCCAGCCGGTTGAAGCAGATGGCTGCTTGTCCTGAGCCTGCTTCTGCTAAAGGTTTCTTCCACATGATGGAGTTTTTCCTTTCCACTGTCGCCTTCATGCTTGCTCAAGTTGAGTCTGCGATGAAGTTAAACTCAAAGCAGTCGGCTCCTCAGATAAACGATGTTATTAACTTAGTTTTTTATGTATGAATGTTTGTTCAGCGCCCTGAGACGACTTCTGTTGTGACTAGGTGCTGTATAAATAAACTGCATTGAACTGAATTGTAATATACAACTACTTTTTGTTATTGTGCCTCTGTCAAATCCAACATGTGACATTTTACTTCATTAAAATAAACATTTGTTCACGTTACTAACAAAAGGCAAAAACAGCTTTTGCATTCATGCGTGGGGACTTTCAAGGGAGTTACGCTCCATAAATGCTCCGTGGCATAAACTGGATGTATGGATGAAATCAACAAAGGGTGATTGGTCACGGAGTTTGCTTCTAACAGTTTAAACAGACTGTAAAGGCTCTTTTCAACTTTTCATCCTGACTGTAGTGATGTTTAATGTTTTTTACAGCATGCTGTTTGGCAACCTCTACATCTATTTTGACTGGAACGGACAAACAGAAATCTCAGGTAAAATAAGACTCGAGTAACTTTTTTGACTGTAAAAGCGCGATGATGCAAGTAAAGCATCACAGATTGGATAAAATTGGTCATTCTGATTATGCTCTAGCCCTAACGGTCTTAAAATATGTCCCGCTCTCAGACAGCAGCAGGAGAAAGGTTTTTCTGTTCCTGCTGGTGGCCTCGGTCCTCGGCACGCTCAGCTTCCTGGTGCTGAGGAGGAGCCACCCTGAAGAGGAGATGCTCTCTGAAGAGGAAGGGCAGTCGCTGCTCTCGACCCGCTCCATGTAAATGACCGTCCTTGAGATAATTACATCGTCTTTTCACCGTGCACAAATCCAACAGAACATATTGAAGTCGCCACTCAAAACGTGGAAACGTGTATATTATATCAAACATGGCCTAAAAATGTGGATTTATTTTTCGTTCTTGTTGACAAAACCACTCAGAAAATGTTCCTTCTACCAAAAAAAAAAAAAAAAGAAGCTCTTCCCGGCTGTGGTAATGTTTTTAAATATGACTTAATGCCACAGTTGTACACAAGTTCGAAACCATTTGTGTCCTTCACAAAATGACACGGACCATTTTTCTCGAGATTATTGCATATGGACGAGTCGAGCCTGATCGTAGCACTTCACTGCAATCAGGAGCAGCTCGATGGAGGAGACTCTTTGAGAAGTGGCATGAACGACCCTCAGACGTCTTTTCATTTTCACGCATCTGGACAGAGTTTATGTTGAATTATGGGATGAAAAATGCGGCTTGCTTCAAAGGCGACTGAAAGTCGTGCAAGAAGTATATAATCAAAATGTTTTGGAGGCGAAACCTTTGTAAAATGAAAGATGAAGAGATTGAAATCAGTGATAGCATGCTAAGTTGGAACAAAACCATCTCCATGTGTTTGTGTCTCGTGTTGGTCTTTGGCTTAAAGGCCGACCATGAGACTCAACGAGTCCAACAGAATAACAAGGACTCCTGCAGGAACGAAGCCTCGGAGAGGTCACATGACTCTTCTGTGCGTTTGTTTCTACTGGTGGACTTTAGTGCGTTTGGACGTAATATTTGTTTTGTTGTTTAGGTACAAGAACAGAGCAAGTGCTGCTTTGCAGGACACCAAGTCTGAATTCAGTAAGTTTGGATTTTTGCTTTTGAATACAATAAAAAATAAACGTGTGCTGATCCTGGAGTTTATAGAAAAAAGTTATATTTGTACTGTATATGGGTGCAAAAAGAAGTGACAGTAAACTGTATGGAAAAGAGAACAAAAAGAAGTTTGTTCAGTATTAAATATAGTTAAATGGATTTTCGTTTTGCTGTGTAAAGCTCAGCATACAGCTCTGCTGCTTGGAACAGAAAGCCAACAAAAATATTTACTTCAGAATGGAAAATCGTAACTGCACAATTTTAGGCAAAATAAAAAAATTGAAGCTTGACTGATGACAAAATCTGAATTATAATATGTATAAATGATTTTGATCATAACTAAAACAACAAATGCCCATTACTGTGTTGAATCAACTGCCTTTGTTGGTGGAAGATCATGTTTTTGCCCGTGTGTCTGTCTGTTAGCTAAATATACCACACTACTTTATTTATTAACCCAAGTGCTGCACAACAAAGCAAAGGACACAGGATAAAATGCATAAAATTCACATATAATAAAAACAGTGAAGTTAAAAATAGTTTAGGTTAAAAAGTATCTCATGCACCACGGGATGGATTTTATTGAAATTGTCACAAAGTAATTATTTGATGTAAATCTATGTTTAACTTTTGGAATTAATCCAATTCAAGATGGCCACCACGGCTAATCCATAACTAACACAAACATTGCTACAACTCTATCCATTTTATAGATATTAAGCCAAAATTTCATGTGGTAGTTGAGACTTATTCACAACACATGCTCTGAACATGACATCTCATGATAATGTTAAAGACTAACCTTATTTTCAAGGTTTGACCAAAATGGCTACAAGGTCATAATTTCTTAGCGTAACATAATCAGAGTCTGAAACTTTGGCATGAAAAGAATGTTAGGCCTTTATATATATATATATATATATATATATATATATATATATATATATATATATATTGCTTATAAAATATGTAAATTCTCATATTGTCCATGAAGTTTATAAAATTCTCATCACCGATTAAAGTAATTTAATTTAGAGACTGATTTATTACAAGTTATTCAAAATGTCTAAAATGATGCAGAAAAACTGGTTCATGCATTTGTCACATCTAGACTGGACAATTGCAATGGTTTATTATCTGGGTGTCCAAATACTTTTTAAAAAGTCTTCAGTTGATCCAAAATGCTGCTGCCAGAGTCTTAACTGGAGTTAGTGGGAAAGATCATCTCTCTCCAGTTTTAGCTTCTCTCCATTGGCTCCCTGTCAAGTCCAGAATAGAATTCAAAATCTTACTTCTAACCTACAAAGCTCTCAACAACCTAGCTCCATCTTATATTACAGATCTTATTGTTCCATATTTTCCCAACAGAGCACTTCGCTCTCAGACTGCAGGCTTACTCACAGTTCCTAGAGTTTCCAAAAAGCAGAATGGGAGGAAGATCTTTCAGTTATCAGGCTCCTCTCTTGTGGAACCAACTTCCAGTTTCTGTCCATGAGGCTGACACATTGTCCAGTTTGAAGACTTAAGACTTTCCTTTTTGATAAATCCTATAGTTAGGGTCGGCTTGTTGTACAGCTATAGGCTTAGACTACTAGAGGACAAATTGACCTAATTTCCTTAAATGCATTGTTAAAATTGAATAGTTTTCATTTGATATTATTTCTATTTTAACATGTGATTCTTGACCTGCCATTGTGTATCTGTTCCTACCTGTCGAATCAGATGGCCGCTTGTCCTGAGCCTGATTCTGCTAAAGGTTTCTTCCTCATGAGGGCGTTTTTCCTTTCCACTGTCGCCTTCTTGCTTGCTCAAGATGAGAGTTGTGTGATGGAGTTAAATTCAAAGCAGTCTGCTCCTCAAATAAATAATGTTAAATTATTATTTTATATATGAATGTTTCTGTTCAGTGCCCTGAGACGATTCTGTTGTGACTTGGCGTTATGTAAATAAACTGAAATGAATTAAAAGAGTTTGGGTCCAATAGACACTTGACTTAAGTCAGCCTTTAAATGATGTTACATTCACTCTAAGAAGGAAAACTATATCTGCACAAGGTTTATCATCAGTTCTGGCATCCGTTGTTTTATCTGGATCAATGTTGAAAATGTATTCAGGTGAAAAACGAGACGCAAAACGTCACTAAACAGATTTTTTTTCCACCTGAGAGTTTTTCACAGTCAATACGAAACTACTAGGAGCCTGAGAAAGCCCAAATGCGCCATTTTTCCTCTTTCCTGGATGATTTTTACTTTCCACACATTCAGTCGCAGCGAGTTTTGTTTTGCTTCAAGTGAAACTTACTTTCATGTGGATAAAAATCTCAGCGTCACGACAGAGTACACAGAAAGTGTCTTAGCGGGAGTTTATCTCAGATTATCTCTCCTGCTTGTCGTCTGGAAACTCGGCTGCAGTCGCTCCTGCTTTCAGCGCTCGCCCCGGGTTGTTTGGATGATCTGATTGCTCTTTGTCTTGTGTGCACGTGTGCACCTATCTGAAAGATATCAGGTTTTTCAAAGATGCACGACGATTCATGTCGAGAAAGGGCGTCGAGGCGTATATAAACAAATCCCGCAAGATTTGTGCTTTAACATCCCGAATTTCTCTAACAGCCTGAATGGAAATCTCTCCTGGGTGCTTTTCAATCTGCATTTAAATGTGTGTTTTTTTTTTAAAAATTATTATTAGATTAGCATTACCCATATTTCAGCAGCATTGAGCTTTAATTGTCAGAGGACAATAAGGCCTTAACCTCTACTTTTTATCTGAGCTTAATACAGCTGTAATGAAGGTGTGTTAGTTCGAGAATTATGCTTTTATTAGCAATTCAAATCAGCCTGTTGCATCTCTTCCCTTCCAGAACGAATCCTGCAGCTGCTGAGAGCTAAAACCATCGTGCTCTTGAGTCCCTGCATGGCATACAGTGGTAAGGCATTAATGTGCTAAACCTTTCAGCCTCCGAAAAAAGACAAAGCACATCTCTCCTGTTCCCCAGGCCTCGAGCTATCGTTCTACAGCGGTGTGTATGGAACGTGTATCGGAGCTACTACACACTTTGGAAAAGCAGCCAAAGGCTTGATTGGGATCTCTGGGATCGTGGTAGGCATTGGAGAAATAGTAGGTGGGTTTACCTTTTTCACACAGAGCACGTTCAGGTGATTTAAAGTCACCGAAGGGCTTCAGAATCATCCAGAAGCTCCTCTGTCCCATCAGGTGGAGGTTTGTTTGGACTGCTGTGTAAGAACAGTCGCTTCAGGCGGACCTCCGTGGTCTTCCTGGGAATGGTCGTCCATTTTATCGCGGCCTACTTGATCTTTCTGAACATCCCAGATGATGCACCTGTCGTCTTTGAATCCGCCACTCAAAAGGACCCGTATCTAACTCCAAGGTGGGTCATTATAGCCTCCAATTCAAGATGGCCACCTCACTAAACTTCGATGTGGCTGTAGCTGATCCAAACACGTTCTCTGAGCATTAAATTATTGTATTTTTCAGCCTATAAGTCACAGTTTTTTTTGCATAATTTACATGCCCTGCGGCTTATACACCGAAGCGACTTATGTTTTTTTTCCTCCCATATTTATAAACCTGTGTTTGGCTGAGATATGACCGTTTTCATTCATTCTGACATTGAAAATATTGAACACTACCATTTCCAGCCGCTAGATGGCACTTGAGTAGTGTAGCATGCCGTTGTGTCGTAATAGGTAAAAGTGGCTATTAATGACACCATGCGATGCCACTTTCGTCCAGCTCCGGCATCATGCCTGGAGCAACTGTCAAATCTGCTTCATTTTGCTGCGCCACCCTGGCGAAATGCAGCTAATTTGACCATTTAAGTGCATTTATTAAGGAAAAGTACAACTGTGATACACTTTTTTACTATAATTTCGAGCAAACAAACAATTGTTTTTAGGTGGTTATCTTGTTAAATTTCAAAGAAATGCACAGCGAGTCGTCCCTCTGCGCGCTTCCGCCAATCGGCTTTTGAAATGCAGCTGATCTGACCGTCAAAGTGCATTTAATAAGGAAAAGTTAGACTGATACGTAACTTTGCTATAATTTTATAAGTAAACAAATAATTGTTTTTATGTGTTAATCTTGTTAAATCCTTGTTGAAGTCCTCCCATCATGCTCCCGCGGACGCCATTTGGCAACTAATCGATTTTTGGCACAACACCGGACCACATTTCCGGGTTGTCAGCGGTGACGTATAATAGATGCGACGTTACGGCGAAGCCACTTATTTTAGTTTTTTCCACTTTATTAGACATATTTGGACTGATGTGACTTATACGGCAGTGTGACGTGTACGGCAAAAAATACAGTACCCACATGGTTTCCAAGGACAATTCTAGGCCTCGTGTTTTAATAGGACCTTTGTTTTCTGTCTCAGTGTTTCCATCGCCCTGTTGTGCAGCTTCCTGCTCGGACTCGGAGACAGTTGTTTCAACACGCAGCTCTACAGCATCCTGGGCCATGTTTATGCGGAACAAAGCGTGGCAGCTTTTGCCATCTTCAAATTCATCCAGGTAATCCTCAATTGCCTATTCCCAGACATTGTTAGCAGAGAGACGCGCAAGGCTCAGTCAAAATGCCGTCCTGTCAAGTGTGAAATAAATTCACCAGGAGGCTCATTAATAGGAATGCAAAGTGGCAGACAGGCACATCTTCCGTTCTGTTCTCTTTTCCTTCCTGCAGAGTTGACAAACACTTCACCCATCAAAATGAGATATATTTTAAATTGCACTATAAATATTGAAACATCTTGGGCTTTCTGTATTGGAATGACCACACTTTAACTCTTTGTGTATGCAGAACTGTATAAATGAAAACCAAAGTTAAAGCTAGGACCTGTTTTTGCCACAATGAGTGAAGTGATGTTAGAATATGGGATGGTCACTCCCTTCAGCTTCGATGCATCAGTATCTGCAGTGCATTGGAAGCCCTTTCTCTTCCTAATCACAGTAAAAATGTGTCCTTCAGTCTGTGAGTGCAGCGGTGGCCTTCTTCTACAGCGGCTACCTCCTGCTGATGTGGCAGCTCCTGCTTCTGGTCATTCTGGGCTTTGCTGGGACCCTCTGCTTCTTCATCGTAGAGAGGATGCAGGACTTTCCTCTGGACTTGCAAGAAGATTAACAAGCACACTCGCTCATTAGTTAGCTGTGTTTTGTGACATATTGTCTGGGAAGAAGTTCAGGAATAATTTAATATGTTGTTTCTCTGATGTGTTAAACGTCTGGCACATTTAGTTAATGATGATCCCAGAATAGTACATGATCGTTTTAGATGGTTATCAAGGCACCGATCGTGTTTCCCCTGGACTCTGCACAGCTGTGGTTAATGTTTAACCAGCTGTGTTTTCCACTAAACAGTTGCACTACATTTATTCTGATGCTTAGGCCTTACTAACCTCCTACATCCAGCTCAGGTTTGTTCTAATATTAATGCTATTGAAGATATTTTATTTTGCTACTTGCTTAATTTTAAAAATGTAAAAGTTTTTTGTCTAAAAGCAAAGTTGGGGAGGTAATGGTCATGTCTAATACCAAAATATCTCATGAACTGCTGGACGAATTTTAATGAAACTTACAGAAAGTAATTAATCTTTGGATGGTCAACTACAACTAACAGTTGGGAGTCAACCAGATTAAAGATGGCTGCCACAGTCAACTGACCTTAAAAACACACATTATGGCTATAACTCGTCATTTTTACAGCTATTGACTCGAGATGCACAATGTTATCGGCATGGTATCGGTATCGGACGATATTTGCGTTCAAGTTAAATATCGGATATTTGCCATTTCATCAAAATAACTCACCGATATAAAAGGCGCTGTTTTTATACAGCCATATTAGGGATGCACAATATTAGATTTTTGGCCGATATGTTAAAACTTATTTGGCTGATAACCGATACCATTACCCTAGACCTACGTACAGAGACTACATAGCTTTATCTGCTGTGGAATTAAAATACTACATTATTCTGCATGGTCTTTTAGTCAGTTTGGCCTGCTACCAAATGCAGATGCCAAAAGGGGGGCTGGAAATGATGCAACACTTCAACTTGGACTATCTTTAATGTCAAATTTATTCATGACATTTACTCTCTCTCTAATGCAATGACAACACTGAACAGTGCAAATTTGTAAATTTTCACAAATCTAAACTCAACAGCGCGCGTGACGTCATCATGTTGTGCTGGCGTTGCGGGCATCCATGTCACTGGGTAGTCATACAAAAACAGCGTCTTATATACATACATATATATATATATATATATATATATACACGCACATATCTATATATATATATATATACACACCATATATATACATATATATAAATGAATATATTGCTGCAGCCCGATTTTTAACTGGTACAGGCTATAGAGAGCACATCACGCCAGTTTTGGCCTCCCTGCACTGGCTACCCATTCACCTTCGGATCCAATTCAAAATTCTCATGTATGTTTTTAAATCACTGAACAGTTCCGCCCCATCCTATCTCACTGATCTTCTGCAGCCATATGTCCCACCGCGCTCTCTGAGGTCAGCAGACCAGATGCTTCTCTCAGTTCCAGAAACCCGTCGTAAGCTCAGAGGTGACAGGGCTTTCTCTGTTGCAGGTCCACGACTGTGGAATGAGTTGCCACTGAGTGTCCGGCAGGCTCCCACACTCTCAGTCTTTAAGTCTCTCTTGAAGACCCACTTCTATTCTCTTGCCTTTAACACGGTGTGATTTGTTTTGGTCCGGTCTGTTCTCTACACTGTTGGCCATTTTAATTAGCTTCTGCTGCTATTTGTCTATATTTCTATTTTATGTTTTCCTGTCCGCTGTGCATGTTTGTTTTCTTTTGTACAGCACTTTGGTTGGCCTTGTTGCTGTTTTAAGTGCTCTATAAATAAATTGGTATGGTATATAAACGGTGCCTTTTATATTGGTGAGTTATGTTGATGGATTGGCAAATATCCGATATTTAACTTTATTGCTAATATCGTCCGATACTGATACATGCATCTTGCATCTCAAACACACATATATATATATATATATATATATATATATATATATATATATATACACATACAGTATATGTAAGGTACTGTTTTTGTATGACATCCCAGTGACAACATTTGACATTAAACATAATCCAAGCATCATTTTCAGTCCTTTTTTTGACATCTGCATTTGGTAGCGGCCAAATTGACAAAGCCCATGCAGGATAATGTAATATTTTAATTCCACAGCAGAAAAAGCTGTGTAGTCTCTGTAAGTAGGTCAGGGGAAAAATATCGGTTATGGTATCGGTTATCGGCCAAATAAGTTTTATCATATCGGCATATCAGCCAAAAATTCAATATTGTGCATCTCTACTATTGACCTAAACTTTGAGGTGATTCTCAACACATACTCTGAGTGTGACTTCTTGTGATATTGTGCAAAATAATATATTGGTTTTAACCCAAGCAGCTACAACTTTATTATTTCTTAACATTACTCTAAAGCTCTGGAATGAAAGGCGAAGGGCGATATGCATTCCTTCAAGGAATGCTTGACCTTTAATTATATGTATAAATGACACTAATGGTAAATAATCACTACTCTTGTTTTTTTGTACATTTTGCTTAATGTTTTATTCTGTACATCTTTAATGAAAAATATTAAAGCCTTTTTATCTAAACTAATCTGCCTGCTGAGATTTTTTAAAATTTATTCTGCTTTTTTCGCATCAATTTGTAATATTTGGTAAAACAGTTCTGACTTGTTTGGATAATCCCAATATCTTCAGTGGATGTCCACAGTCTTTCCAAGAACCTGTACATCCAGACAGTGTAGTCTTAATAAATACATTTATTGATTTTAATCTGGATTTGTCCGATTAATTTAAAGTAAAATTCAAGAGACTATTATTCAAAACATCCGTCCATCATGTTTTAAACGCTTCTTCCTTTTTGGGTCGCGGGAGTCATTGGGAGAGGCAGGGGACACACTGGACAAGTCTCCCATCCATCACAGGGACATAGAGACAAACAACCATTCTCATTCTCACCTAGGGACAATTTAGAGTTACCAATCATTCTAACATGCATGTTTTTGGTCTGTGGGAGGAAACCGGAGTGACCAGAGAAAACCCATTCATGCACGGAGAGAACATGCAAACTCCAACCAGAAAGGTCCCCAGCTGGGATTTGATCTGGTGACCTTCTCGCTGAGAGGCAGCAGCTCTACCAACTGTGCCACCGTGCCACCCATTATTGAAAACGGGCTTAAAATTTCTAAGTTTAAGGGAAAATATGACACCCCAGAGGTTCTGCATTACTTCATCAGTAATTTATTACATTTAAATTAAACAGATTTGTAGGAATTTCAGTCAGTTGTGCCACTTGGTTGATAAAGAATTGAGGGGCTGATGAAAGTTTATGGTTTACCCTCAGAATTAAATCCGTGTTAGTTTTGGGAGATAACCTTGTAGGGAACGTAATCAGGTTTGGATCGTGCCTAACGTCATTTAAAAGGTTTGACTAAAACAGCGACAACTCATTTCTCATAAGATGATCTTAGTTTCAATCAGCTGGCAGCTTTGCATCCATCCCAAGGATGGTCTTTAATTCAATTTGTGTTTGGGGAAGTTAAATGATGCACTTTTTAAAAATCCTTAAACTGCATATAAATCTTGTGTTTATTGAGTTGTTGTACTTTAGTATTCCCGCTGCTCTGCAGCACCACCTGGCTACCGCAGCCGTTGATTTCCCAAAGCCCTACTTCAGCCAACCGTGCATTTAGACTGACAAGCAGATAAGACGCACACATCGGGGCGATCAGCCTAATTGTGTCACATTTTCACGTCATAGTTGATATAAGCAGGTCAATCTGAAATTGACCTGCAGGATTCACAACCGGGGCCTGAAATATGCCACTGTCTCCGCCATCGTTTGTTTTTTTTTACAAGATTTACTGTTCAGACGTAAATCCAGGGAAGCTGTTTTAATTTCAAAGCCTTGTGTATGCCCAGGGGTTTAGTTTATTTAATATAATACATTTCTTTTGCGACCCGCCTGATTGCTTCAGACTGTCAGTTTATTCAAAGAGTTACAATTGTTCGTACATTTCTGCACCTGTAGCTCACTCGGTTATTAAATTTGAGGACTTGTCTCATTTTCTGTAATTATGGAAATCGCACGTCGTGGGATGTTTGTGTGAATAAGGGCGAGGAGACAATTAAATAAGCCTGTTTCCAAAGAGTAAAATATTAATTCTGATGACTAACAGCTATGATGTTTTTGTTCGGTTTGCGCTGCGTTTAGCCTTTCACACAATGGCTGTTGTTTCCCTCATCAGCAGCTAAATGAAACCAATCATCCAGCGACGTGTGCTTCTGAGTCAAAGGTCTGCGCGATCACTGTGTCCTTTTATTATTTATGTCAATTAACTTCACTTAAGCTAAAACACTTGAGTGATTTAATTCCACAGCAGCAGAAAACACAATAAAAGCGAATAAATAATGCTTTATTTTGAGTCTGTGTGTACTTGTCTGTACTGTTAGCACAATATCACCAGTGACCAGATTTAAAAGATGAAACGTTCCAATGTAATCGTTAGGCTGACATCACATGAGCCTGCATATGATGTTATTTTTTAAGGTTTGGCCTAAACAGCTTTTTACTGCATTATTTCTCATCATGGGATGATCGTGGTCTAAAACTACCATGTTGTTTACTACGTATATTTCTTTCAGACCTTGTAAATATATTTCTCTTTCACTTTCTGGTACTTTTATTTTGTACCCTTATTGCACGCGTTAGTACAAGGCTATTCAACTAAATTGCTTGGGGGGGCACAGTTACTGAAAGCCAAGAGCTCAGGGGCCGGACATCCAGCAGTTATTATCATAGCCATAATAACAACAGTTATGGATAGCAACGAAATTCTGATGGAGTATCATGCACATACACATGAATAAATTAGCACAGTGGTACGAAATAACTTTGCAAAGTTCTGATGAACAGTGTAAACAGAGATAATGCAGCATCTAAGGACAGGATAGAAGACGGGAAAACTAAACAGCCAGATGTTGAAGGGGTAGTGGTTGCTGCAGCAATGCAATATCCATTTCAGGGTTACTGTCATGATGAGATTTGAGCTGTAGAGATAGTGGGCGGGGTCACAGAGAGATGCTGTTTAACACCCTCACAGCCTGTGGGTACAGACTGTGAGCCATTCTGCTGGTCCTGGCACCTATAGACCGGTACCTTCTGTCTGAGGGTAACAGATGGAAAAGGCCATGTGCAGGATGGTCCCTGTCCCGCAGGATGTTGTTGACTCGTCTCAGACAGCGGGTTGTATAGATAGTTCTGATCTCTGGGAGGGTAATCCCGATGATCTTCCCAGCTGTTTTAACCACCTGCCGGAGAGCCTGCTGGTCCGCCTTAGTGAAGCTGGAACCACACTAGGAATCCATAGGTTAATACACTTCCAATAGCACAGTTATAGAAGTTGATCATAAGCTGCTGAGGAATTTTGACCCATTTCAGTTCCTCAGAAAGAAAAGTCGCTGCTGGGCGTTACTGATGGCTGAGGCGATGCTAGTACCCCAGGTCAGGTTCTCCGTCACTGTCACACCCAGAAATTTGAAGTTCGTGACCCTCTCAACCGCTTCGTTTCTGATGTAAAGTGGAGAGTGAATGTTTTTACTTTGTTTGTGAAAATCCACAATAATTTCCTTGGTTTTTTTAATGTTAAGAACCAAGTGGTGGTTGTGACACCATGACACCAGTTGTTGTACTTCAGTTCTATATGCTGCCTCTATCAAAATACATTGTTTGTTTTATGGTTTAAAATCTAGTTTTATTTAAAAATGAACCCACTGGTGGGCCGAACTGAGCTCATCGGTGGGCCTGATTTGGCCCCTGGGCCACCAGTTGAACAGCCTTGCTTTAGTATTTCTTGTTTGTTTTTAGCGAGACAAATCGGTTCTTCTCATCCTGAACATGTCGGTGCATCGCTGACCTCGAGTTAACCTGCATTTGACAAATAAATAACTTTTTTCTAGAACTCTGGCGTGAAAGACAACAGGCGATATGTCTTCTTCAAAGAAATGCTTAGTTTTTTATTTATAAATATGAATTATGACCACCAGAAGCTGACAGAGAAGCTCACGTCCAACGACCGGACGTAGTGCCAGTGCTTGACGGGGATGAACAGCACGTCTCCAGGCTGCAGGACACATTCCACATACAGAGCCTTGGCAAACTCAGGGAAGCGTTCAGCATCTGGATTCTCCACCTCCACCTGCACGGGAAAGTTCAGAACTGAAAACTGACATTTTTTTTCTTCTTCATACATCCTTTCTGTGTGAACTGTCAATCTCACCTGACTGGTATTGTAGAGCAGCTGTGATTGATGAGGGTAAAGCTTGTCTGTGTCCTCGGGGGAATACAGCCGAACGTATTTGCTTCCCACCACCTTTGCACGAAAGCAGAATCCCACGTGGTTAACCAACTGTGATCCCAGAACAAAGTGTTGTGACAGATTTGTAAAGCAGTATTGTTATTGTCACCTGAGCCAGAAAGTTCTGCTGAGGATCCTGGTGAAGAGGAGACACTGTGCCTGCAGGTCCAAACCATGCATTTACAGTGATGTCATCCTCTTCTCCTTCACCAAGACAACAGTAATCCGGGATGCGGATATCTTCCTTTAGCTCTGGTATCTTATGGGAATAGAAATCAAAGAAAACAAACAGTTTAGGCTGATTTTACTCACTAAAATACATTTTTTAACGAACAATATGGACCTTCAAAGTCCACTGGATGCTGGATCAAAAAATATTTTCCCAGCAAGTAAACTTACTAAACTCCAATCTTTGGCCTTTCCTTGTCAGCACTAATTTTGTCGGTCAGATCTTTTATTTGTTTAAGACTTAAACATTACTAGCAATTATTATTATTATTATATTATTGTACAGGTTGTCATGGAAGCTTATTGCAGATTTATAACCAGAACTTTCAAAATACCAACCTGGACTCTTCGTGACACTTTTTAAATTTTTTTTTTTTAAATTTGGATATAAATGCTGAGTTTCAAAGCCACTGACGTGATTGCAGACTTAATTATGTATTAATCACGTTTTTAAGAGACATTTAATGTCAGTCTCACGGTTTTCCTAAATTTTTTACCAATTTGACCTTTTCTTGAAGCATTAAATTTAAATATTTTAGTTGAAGGCATCTGCAGCTACAAGTTCAAAACTGCAAATCGTTTTTCATAATGTTGGGTCTGCTTACCACTGCGTGCTGGTTCTGTGCGTTGACTATTACACGTTGTATTTACAATAACCAAGTGCAATTCCTCTGACAGTGAGCCACTTTCTGACCAGGATCATTCTACTGTGCAATATATATATATATTTTAAAATCACATTTAAGCTCATCTCTCTCCAGTACGCAACTTATTTTATTCTGTTTTTATGCTTAGGTCTTATTTTACTTTAGTTTTTTAAATTACATTTGTTATTCTGTGCATTAAATACTGAGCGAACAGAGGAGCCAGTTGAGGTGGTTCAGACATCTGCTAAGGATGCTCCTTGGGCACTTCTGTTGGAAGGTGCTCCGGGCATGTCCGGCTGGGAGGAGACCCCAAGGAAGACCCAGGACACGCTGAGGAGACCACGTCTCAGGGTCCTCCCAGAAGAGCTGGAAGAGGTGGCTGTGGAAAGACGTGTCTGGACCTCCCTGCTCAAGATGCTGGCCCCGCGACACGACTTGAAAACAAGCGGCAGATGACTGATGGATGGACAGACAGATGGAATACTGCTCTTTGTTTATTCACGGTTAAACTCACAGGTGTAACAAGAAACATTCCTCTGGAATTCATAACGTTCCTTCATTAATGCCACTATACGTCAATTTTAAAATCATTTTGTACATACGGTGTGTTTTTTGGGTAAAATATTTATCTTATACAGTACCAATAAAAATGTTGAGACAAAGTATAGTTTCATTTTATATACAACAAAAAAAGTGTAACGATATTTAGATTCACATAATTCTTCCAAAAACATTAGGTAATAAATTCATTTAATTAGCTAGGGTTTTTAGTTTTACAAAGAATATTCTAAAACATGGCTATTCAACTGGTGGCCCGCGGGCCACTTCCGGCCTGCAAGTGACTTCAGTCTGGTCCACCAATGAGTTCATTAAAAAAATATGTTTTTTGGGAGGTGGGGGGTTGTTTTTGGGTTCTGTTTATTGCATTTATGATCCAATGCATCAAAACACACAAATTTAAAAGGTAACAGATCATTGTAATATTTGATTTATTTACATAATAATTTTAAATCGGGTCTCTTGTAAATCGAGGCTCACTAAGATTAACTTGCCCAAATAAAGATTGAATGAATGAAAAATCGCTGGATGTCCGACCCCTGAGCTGCAGGTTTTCAGAAACTGTGACCCCCTGAGCAGTTTCGTTGAAGAGCCCTGTTCAAAAACATAAACTAACAGAATTACTGCAAATGTGTATTTAAACGAGTTTTTATAATTACTATTCTCTAAGTTTTATGTTTTAATGTTTATGAAAATGGTTTATTTGTTTAAATGCAGCCACTAATTTTTCTATTTGGGACAAAGGAGGCCAACATGTCACAAGGCAATCGCTCTGTAAAAGCATCTTTATGACCATGTTTTTAAATTGAGCACGTGGACGACAGAAAGGACACATCAGGTGTGTTTTCAGGGAAACACGGTGACACTTGGCTTTGTAAAGCCAGAGAACTATTTAGATGACAGAGATTTGACTGAAGCCAAGAAAACAAAGTGCAACCTCTTTGATATTTTTCCTTTTTAAATATGTAATATCAAAAGAAAACAAAAACTGTACCTGATCAAAAAGTTGGTGCTGAGCAAGATAACCCAAAGCTTTCTCTCCATTTTGAGAAGTCTGAACCTGAAAAACAAATCTGTACGGTTAAAAATCTGAGAAGAATCTGAATTACTGCGTGAAAACTTCACACACTCACTTTATTCAAAATGTATTTGTCGATGAACTCGTTGACCGTCAGCAGTGTTTGTGACCAGTCCTCGTCTGTGTACCTGGATCCCACCTCTACAGGAACGGTCCGACAGCCGGCCACAGACCTCAGGTACTCTATGCTTTGCAGAAGGAAGGCAATTAATAACACAAAAATAAAATGGTCATTGTGGTTTGAGCTGTGTACAAAAATATGTTAAACGAGCACTTTTGGAAGTGAATGAGAAGCCAAGAGCTTCGTGAAGGAGGACACTGAATGCTACGATTAAACTACGATGATTTATTAAATTCACAGTGACGATGTATGTTTGTTTCAGCTAATCAACTTACACTCAGTTGAAGCGCTCTACTTTCATTTTTGAGGTAAAACTCCCCAAGAACTTGGAGCGTAAATGATACAAACTGTGAAAATCTGTATGTTACGTGTCAGCTGTCCCTCCGTATGAGAGTCCTCCAGCTTTCGGGTCCTCTCTGCAGGGAAAGTGCACTTAGCTATTGTCAGAAGAGTAGATCAGTCTGATTACATGGCTGAAGTGAACATAAGTGGGGTTGTTATATTTCACAAAGCTGCATGATGCTGTTAGCACTGCAAAGCTCATTTTGACGGACAGAATATGTATTTTTCTAAACTTCCTTTCTTTTCTGAGTGTTTTGAGTTTAAAGTTTCGCTAACAATAAGTGATAATAGTGATGTCCTGTATGACTGAACACCTAAAACAATACAGTCGTACAAAAACACAACAAAAGCTCTTCAGCTGAAGCAGACAAACCTCCAGGGATGGTTGTTGAGGGCGGGCCAGTGGTCGATTATCCGTTCTAAAATCACTGGCTTGAGAGGAAGCAAGTAGTTTGCATTGAAGCTTTCCAGTGAAGGACACTTAATTCTGGAAACTGCCAACTCTTCTTTGATTAAAGGCGCACACGGGTTCACAATCTTTATTCTCTGTTAATGATAGCAGAAAGAAACGTAGAAAAATGTCAGTTTAATCATTAGAAGGTAGTAGTAACCAATAGATACATGCTATGTGTGTTGGTGACCATCAATTTATGAGGTTATAAAAAAGTTATGCCAATCAAACAATTGTTTAAGCTTACAGAAATAAATAAATAATTGCTGATTAAGAGATATGAGTGATTTCTATTTTCTGGAGGAACATAATTAGAAGCAGGACAATTTGACTATTACGCTCATATTTCTGATAAGTCTATAGATCTCATTAAGATCGAAAATAAGCAGCAGATCTAAAATAATGATAAAGAGCCACTTCAGTCCTGCTCTAAAAGCAATTACTCATAGGTATTTAGAATGTTTTAACAGCTTTAAGTTGACATTTTTCAAGGCAAAGAATGAAAATGTGCATTAAGAAAAAGAAAGTCAGCTGAGCCTGGTCAAAACAAAGTGATCTGACCTTTGAGAATGTATGGCACTTTATCTTTAGTGCAATCTGATGAGGTGCGCCAAGATAAAGGGCAAAAGGGAAGTAATAATATTAATTAAAGGCCCAACATTCTTTGAAGGAAAGCATATCGCCTGCTGCCAGTCATCCAGAGTTTTAGACCAAAATCCTCTTTTGTTGAGAAATGATAATTTAAATTGTTTTAGTCAAACCATGAAATATCATTATGTGTGATTTCATCATATATCCTCAGATGCCATGACTCTCAGCTTCTACCACCTTATCTGTAAAGCTGACTGAGTATAGCCATTTATGTGTTGGCTAAAGTCAATTAGGTGTGGCAACCATTTTTAACTTGGTTGACTCCAAAAGGTAAGCAGTTGTAGATGTACATGTCATCACTCCTTTCTGAAAATTTCATTAAAAATTTCCAGTGGTTCATTAAAGATTTTGCTAACAGACACACAAACATGGGCAAAATTATTATCACCCTTTCAGCAGTAAGCAATAAAATATTTCCTATAGCAAATTCTGCAAAATCCTCTGCTACAAAGACAACTTGTGAACAATTTTGACTGCATCTCATAAAACTGGTCAGACAATCCTACTGAAATCTAAAATTTGATGGTTAACTATGAATACGTCTGATGATATTTGAATATAATAGTATGTGTAAAATAAATAATTAGTGATAAAACAAGGCCACGAACTAACCTTTGTCTCAGCATATTCACTTTTATCCTCTTCTTTAGAAGTGTTTCTCAATTCTCTGTGCAGAATCCTAACGAAAACCTGAAGTATGTTATCCAAGATGGCTGCACCCATGAGTAAACCCATGTCACAAGTCTTGACAGCCTGCAGGACGTCATTCTCTGATGGGTTTCCTTGACACAGTGCAGCCACTTTGAACAAGCAGCCGTAGGAGTAAACTCGCCTCCAGTCTTTGTCCACATGGCGCCACGTCCCGGTGTTGAGTCTCTCCCACGAAATGTCCAAAATGATCTGAGCATTAAGCATTCGGCTGGCACTTGTTGTGTTGCTGTAAAGCTGTTGTCTGGACCATTTCAGCATTTCCAACACACTTGACTCCACTTTATCACCAAACTGAAGTGGAAACTGTTCTTCATTAACCGGTAGAGAAGCTGAGATCTTTGACCACAAAGACGCCATTGAAGAAAATGTCTGTGTTCTGTGGGATGGAAAACAGAGGTGATTCAATATTCCACACTAGTTTAGACTGAAATTATTATGATGAAGTACAGGTAATATACTCTAAAGATACATCTACTCTGTGTAGAGGCAGTTTAACATACAAAAAGAACATTTATAAAAGACTAGAGAGGTAATGTAATCATAGATGTGCTTAGCTGGTTGTTGGCCCATCAATGTCTCAATAAATACCAACCATAATCATAAACACACACAGAATACTTGTTTATTTCATAAATTTCTCTGCTACAGGGCAAAAAGGAAGTATGCTCCTAATTTCCACACTGGCAAACACAAAACAGCAGCAAGGACATCCCGAGCCAGAACTGTTTGTGTGTCACACAATGATGACAGTTTGTTGCACAGTTTCTGGATGCACCAACTCTGCCTTTGTGCGACTCCATCCTTGTTTGGATGCTTTGCTTTGCCGGGGATGCTGCCAATGCATGAGGCAGCCAACTCTGAGCACCTGATTCTTGATTTTACACACAGTTTCACCCACGTGAATGTAAAAACAGGTTGAATTTAGCAGAACAAAGGGTTGTACTTAATGTATCACATGTCTAAAAAGGTAATAAAGCCCTGCATCAGTTAACATATTTTTTATGGAATCCCAACAAATGAACACACTTGAGCAAAACAGAAAAGAAGAAGAAAAAATTTACAGTTATTCAGGATGTTTTAAGAATTAGTCTTTCAAAAATCACCTATGCTTTGCTCAAATACATTTGTAAAGCCTCAGCAGATTAGCTTTTACTTCAACTTTTAATAGTTTTAGAAAACTACTTAAACAAATATATAATTCGTATTGAAACAGAAATGTTTGTTGTGCAAACATCAATGTTGAACCAATGGGGAGAAATTAACCACATTTAATTACGTTTTATCCAAATTCTGCTTGAGTAAAAACACAAAGTAAAACATGAAAAACACCTGTTTGCAATCAGCTAAAGCTCTAACTGTTAGTTTAATTAGAACATTTTAAAACTACGTTTAGCAATATAGTTTAATTTTACATCAACGGGTCTTAAAATATACTCTTTGTAAAAATATTTAATATAAAAGCAGCTAAAAAGCTGTATTTACCTGTTATAACGCCATTTACACCAGTAACTCAACAAGGTGAGTCGACTGCTTGTGAAACTACAAGTATGCTAACGGTGCAACAACAAAAACACACCGGGAAGCAACAGAAAAAGCCAAACCATTAGTTCCGCGTTGTTGTCGCTGTAGTCAAAACTTTGGAGATCGGCCAAAAATTTAGTTACACCACCCCGATATTAATGTATTTATATTTTTCAGCTTTAAGGTGAACACTTTTATTTATTTTATGTAAATAGATACTTGATGTGAATTCACTTTCTGGTCCAGCAGAGGGTACTAACATCTGCACATACTGGATCCTGAACAGCAACAGATACAGTAATGTGTGTAGTCAGTCTGGCACTGAAATGAATGGCATCTTGTTGCATGATTAGACTGCAGGAAATCTTCTCTCCACAAGGAAAAATAGAAAATAAAAACAAACAGACACTTGTTGGCCATGTGTGGGCTGTTTCCTACTATCTATACACTTTCCCACATTCACACTCCCACACAGTTACATTTGTCCACAACATCTTAGTCCTTGTAGCAGCTCAGAAATCTGTTCATCTTTCATCTGAGCTCTCTGTTTTCAAATGATCTACTAAGTGATGCTTAGCAAATGAGTCTAACAAAGCAGTGCAGTACCTGTTCACGCTTATACATCTGCCTGAGCAGGTGAACCAGACTGTCTGATCACTACGTTGCATCGAGACAACTCCTGTCATGATAAAGAATGGCAGACGTGAACGTTTATTTTCCCCTTTTTTAAAAGCTCCTGCTGCTCATGTTGGGTAGTGTAAATACACCTACCCCATGAGGGCTTTGTATGAAGCTAAAACAATAATCTGGTTTGTTTTTTTGATGGCACACACAGATTTGGGGGCTTTTTTATATTCATCTGCACTTTTTTTTTTTTTTTTTGCAGGGAGCCGGCTTGAACAAACATGACAGATAAAAAACAACACATCACCAGTGGAAGTCTGGATATATAAAGTCTCTGCACTATTATCAAATGTCAAACACTCTGTGAAATTCAAATAATCTCAGTGGAAAGCGCAGAGCTGCTCTTGTATGTAAAGCAGAGGGAAACAAGAGACGTGCTGCCTTTCCAGGAATCACAGGGGATTTTAAGATGGTTCAAACATTTCTATTCACTCTCACTGTGTAAACAGCAGAAACCTCGAGGCTCAATCTATTGTTCACCTGCTTTCATGGTAGTAGGAAATTACTTGGATAGCCAAAAAACACCATGTTTTTATTATTTTGCTGCGATTATTGGAATGAATACATAAGAAAAACATTACAAATGTAAAATAAAAATATAAAAAAGCATTTAGTGTTTGTCAAGGTATGCAAACACCTGTGCTGAGGAGAAATCTTTGCACATACAAAGTCAGAAATATCTATCTCTGCTTGTATTTCAGCTAACAGAAAAAAAAAGAAAGTTGTAGGTGCCAGTGTTTGTAGTGTACAATGTGAACCACCAGCCCCACAGTGGGTGAGACACAATGTCTTCATTATATTGTATGGGAATCTCAAGGAGACAAACCTTACAACATGATATGAGTGCTGTGTTTGTGCACCGCTGCTTGTGTGAGCGCTCACGGTGGTCCCAGCAGAGAGACTGATGTATTATTCACACATGTCCAAGTCTGTGGTTGTAAGGAGGCATGGAGCTTCACAGAAGGTCACAAGTCTGGCATCACTGTTCCTCCCTGCGCTGTCAGGACGAACTTCATGTGCAGAGGTCAGTGACCTTTCTCCTGTGTGAGAGAGGGAGGTCACCATTCCTCCCAGGGCCTTGTTAGTTGGTCCTTCAGAAAATTTAAGATTTCATTGTGAAAACGTAGCATCTTAAAAAAAACAAAACAAGGATTAAATAATATATATATTTACAAAAAGATTTAGGAGTGCCTGTAGATAAATGACCTCACATGAACCCCAGAGTAATAAGTGATACACCAACGTCCCCTGTCTCTGAAGGATTTAAGTAGTGAATGTTTGTAGTTTTTGAAATGAGTGTTTTTCTCGACTGGAACTGAACAAAAAAATGCAAGTAAACCTTAATGTTTTTGTTGCAAGATATTCAAGTGGATAAGGAGTTACACTGTGCATAAGATGAGAGGTAGGTTTTTAGTTTCTTGTATGAGATGGCATTAAGTGACAGATCCAGGAGGGATCCAGGATCCCTCCTGGAAGGGAGCAGTTTTATCCACTGTCAGGTGCAATGGCAACCTGGCACAGCTTGGACTTTGGTATTGCTATATATCTTGCTCTTCAGGACTTGCTTTACTTCCTGTAGTTACTTGGTTGTGGCTGACTTTCTTGCGGTCTCATCATGGTTGCCATTTCCCTGTGGAATTCCAAAGTATTTGTAGCTTTCCTGGACATCTGCAATGTTGCCTTCAGGGAAATCAACCCTTTAGTTGTGATCACCTTGCCCTTCTTGCATACCATTCGACTACATTTATCCAGTCTGAATGACATTCCAGTATCCTGGTGATATATCCTGTTGAGATGGATCACTGCCTGGCTCATTTTTGGCATACATCCATGTAGAGGAGATGTCTGAAGATTGTTCCACTTTGGAACCAGTATCCATAACCACTCTTTGCAATGATCTGGCTGAAGGGTTCAGGCCAGTGCATCACCTTGATGTATGCCACAATTGATGCTGATTTGTGCAAATGGCTTTGAATTGGCCTCTAAAGTATTCTTTCACATTCCCATTGAGTTCTTGGTGACAGCTCTCAGTGTCCTGTTGACATTGTATAGTTTCAAGCACTACATTAAACATGTGTGTGGTTTTGAGTCAATGGCTCTCCTGTAGTCAGTCCAGGCAGTGTACAGGTTTGTATGTCTGGTCTTACAGTCTCAAGCTGCGGTTCTGTCGAACAGAAGCTGGTGCTTGCTTGGCTCCCATGGCTTTGATGCAAATTTCCTTCTATGTATAAGGTGGTGGCCATCTTGGATTTTGAAGTGGCAACCCCATTTTTGAAAGGAATCTTTCTTATGGCAGGATGCAAAGCAACACATCAAAAAGGAAGTTGGCCCGTTGCTTATTTTTAAGTTATCCAGTTTACGAAGTTTACATGTATATGGAGGTGGCCATCATGGATTATGACGTGGCAACCCAATTTTTAAAAGGAACTTTTCTTGTGCGTAGATGTAGTCACACACTAAACTGGAAGATATCTCACTTTAAAAAAAATTTTTTTTTTATGTTATTGCACTCACAAAATTCCCAGACTAACAGATGAAGCGTATTTCCAATTCGTCCTTTTTGCTTCGCAACAAGGGACAATAAAGAACAAAATAATTTTGCAATATCCGCAAGTTTTATTATTTTTAGGGGCACATTTTTACTGATCTATAACACTAATCAAATGCCCAGAACTACTTGAAGGAATGCATATCACCCCACATGCTTTAATGCCAACTTTTAGACTAGGATCATCTTGTGTTGACAAGCGATGAAGTTATAACATTATGCACAATTTTATGTGGCATTGCAAACTGTATAATCTATTAGCAATACTACGTTCATATGAAATCTTATGTCAGTGTCTGTAAAATTCACTGAGACATCTATTTTTGTGCAGAAAAAGGTCCATTAGTTGCAATCCAAGGAACATTTAGTCCTATCAATTGATTTTTGGCACAACATTGGCCCACGTTTCCCGGGAGTCGGCGGTGACAGATAATAATAAACGTGACTTATACTCCAAAACAACTTATATATGTTTTTTCCTCTTCATGATGCTTTTTTTTGGACTGATGCGACTCATACGTCGTAAAATACGGTGCCTTGAAATACTTATTCATACAAATTCATCCTGCTTGCACCGTTATATTCTACCATGTTGTTGTTTACTATCTCTCTTTAGGACGTTGTCAGTATTTTAATTACTTTTTCCTTTTTTTGGTGCTTTATTTTTGAATCCTTATTGCATGCTTTAGTATTTCTTGTTTGTTTGTTCTTAGTTTTTTTTTAGCGAGTCAAATCGATTTTTCTCATCCTGAGCATTTCATTGTACTGTTAACCTTGTGTTAACCTTGCATATGACAAATAAACACAACTCGACTTGACTATCAGAACAAAGTTAATTAGCGTGGCAAGCTTGTTTTAGCAGCTTTGGTATTTTAACTAAGGTAAAACTGTTTTAAATTCATGCCTATTCAAATAGAATTTTCTTTTCTTTGCACACAGTTTGGAATCTCAGCAGTATAACTTTGTGTAGCAAAAAACAAATTAATTTACTTTTGTCACAATTCCAACTGAACCTGAGATTCTCTCAGCAGTGCAGTAACTAAAAATCCTCAGCAGCTGCTGCTCAGGTTTTGCCAATATTCAAACAGGGCAGCGGGGCATGACAGTCAGCAGCACCCACCCAGGGGCCCACAAGGGTACAGCCACCAGGACACCACAGGAGGGATGTAATCACTACCATTACGCTCTAGGTGCCGCTGAAATAAAAGACGGAATCAAGCCTCTGGTAGCGTTGCCATGGATCAGAATTCAATTAAACACTGTTTAGCTTGACACAAACATCCAGTCGTAGCCTGTTGACTCATGAAATTAATGTATTGTCTATTCCACAGAGACAGTGTTGCCACAGAGAGTGCAACGTGACCTGAAATGGTTGCCATTTGAACCGCTGCTGCTCCATCCTTGCATCATCTAAATTTCATTGGGCAGCTGACGTGTCACACAGAAAGCACAACAGCACATCTGTCTCCAGAGAAAATGCATTTTCTGCCAAAATGTAGCACGAGCGCTGCATAACTTTGCTGGAAAAATGAAATGTTGACTGAGTTAAGATTAAAATAATCGGAACAGATGTTAAAATCACCAAAACCATTGCTAAAACAAATTTGCCTTAATTTGCAACACCAATGCTTTAAGTTTAAACGAGCAAATCTGTTGCTAAAAATGTAAATGAGCAAAACTTGCTCAAAGCTATGTAAGAATTACCAAAACAATTGTTAAAAGCTTAAATGAGATAAAAGTTGCCAGAAGATAAAACAACAAAATAGTAGCTAAAAGCCTACATTAGTTTAAAACGTTTAAATGAG